ACCCTTTCCAAGATGCCAGCTTGCAAATCCTGGATACACCAGCGAAGTATTCCACTAGATCAATCGGTCCGCCAAGATCCCAGTCCAGGGCCAAAGATACCCAACTCGCCAACATGGTCAGGTAGATGAAGTCCTTAGGGATCAACTAGTTGCTGGCTGATTCAACCCCTTCAGAAATAGGTCCGGTAAAGTATGAGATTATGGGGCTTTATTTTCAAAATTTCGTTTTATGGTTCAATGTCCATAAAAGAATTCATCCAGTCATTGTGGCATTGCCAATTGAAGGATTGTGGCAAACAGATGGGTGTTGACAAGAGTCCAATGGCACTTTCATGGCCATCATGCGCCTCAATGCCAGGTTCAACTGGCTGTCAGAGATCCTCATGGCTACCGAGACTTGGCTGAGGCCTGGCCTTCGCTCAGCACGAAATGGGCTGCAGGGATGGCAAGTTGAGTCAAAAATTGGTTGACTCAACGATTTTATTGAATAGGTTAGGAATGCTTGGGATTAAGAATTATAAGAAACCCTTTTGTTTGTACCAAAACCACGTGAGGTCCGGCCACCCTATGGCACCTTCAACGCCAAACCCGAATTTAGCAAACGAAGATTGGCCACGGAGAAGTGGCATGGAGAGTCCTGCAAGCCAGAAGATGGGAAACTATGGCTGATCATATCTTGGGAAATTTCTACATAAACTAAAAGGGGGCAATTCTATAGAAATTCATAAGATACCAAAAGCTGTCCTCGTAGGCTGCTGCAGCGGTTTCAATCTTCAAGCACCTGGCATGGGATGAAACGGCGGTGTCAGGAGGTGATACATGTTGTTATCTGCTAAGTAGCTCGTTTGGAATCCTTTTCTATTTCAAGAAATGTTCGATTGGAGTTTGTTTTGCTGAATCCCTTAGAAATCTTAGTAAAGGATAGCGAGGGGGCTCCTCAATCAGTTTTCCCGCCGCCAGGCCATCAGCAATGCTGGTCAATGTTCACGAACTTCACTGACCAGGCTTGATGCGATTTGCATGCGAATCTAATCCGTTGCACACCCCAGCCAAGAGACCATTTGAAAAACAAGTGGATAGTGTTTGGATAAACCTTCGCATACCATCAGTGTGCAAACAGAAGTCCACGTATTAGGATTAAAGTCTTGGGTCTTCAAAATCAAGCTGTACAACCTGCCTATCCTAACAGCGTTTGCAGCATACTACCCCCGGTGCCATCCGACATGGTAAACTGCATTGAGTATGCTTTCCACACTCCAAGGTGTCAGGTTGTTCGCAACCAAGACTAAATCTACTCGATGTGCTTCACTGCTTCACATAGGGTCCTTGCTTGGGATGTGAGATGAATGATCACCAGCATTTTTTCTGTTATTTGTTATTTGATGGCCCCCCAACTTTTGAATCCAGAAAGCATCAGAAACCCATTGCCTGAAGTTGAGCCAAAGGGTCGAATCGCCTCGTCTTCAAAGAAAGAAGCCAGCAAACCCTCGGCAATCTCCGCACTGGCATCGTAAGACTCAGCGTTGCCAGTCTTGAAAGCGCGCATGCACAACTTGTAGAAATGGTCCTGTGAAAGCTGTGGGTGCAATCAGCGAAAGGAACCCTGCGTGCAAAACCCCCAAGATCCATGGGAACATTTTGAACATGTTCGGTTTTGTTTTGTGATTTTGAACTTGACCCACCTGGAAAGAGCTCTGCTTAGCCACGTTGGGCGCAATCTCGGCTTCAAAGACAGAACGGCAAGCCGTGTAGCGGGCAGCAGCAACAGGATCAGTTGGGAGGTAGCGACGGGCAAAGGTTTTGGTCTCCTTGCTCTTCGGCTCCTCGTCCATCTTCTTCTCCTCAGTCTTGTCCTTGTTGACTTTGTCATCTATCTTTTTCACCTTGGCATCCTTCACCTTTGCCCCCTTGGTGGTCTTTGCCTTTGCCTTTGCCTTGGCTTTCGCTTTGGACCCAGGCTTGGACTTGGCTGTGGCCGCTTTGGCCTTGGACTTCGCTTTTCCCTTGGCTCCAGGCTTGGGCTTGGTCGTGTTGGCTTTCTCAACAGGCTCTTCGCCATCATCACCATCACCGTTTCCTTCATCATCTTCTCCATCATCATGTGCTGCGCCCCTGAAATCGGCATTGAGCTGTTCTCGGCGGAGTAGGACACCTGGTTCCTCTCCCATGAGGTGACAAACATCCCCATCAAAGGGCTTTCTGAGCGCATCCCTGGCCGTATCAGGTTTCAAGGACTTGTTGGACTTCTTGTCCCCCTCATCCCGGTCCAACGCCCTCTTGTTTGCAATGGCCTTGTCCTTGATCTCATCCCCCGCTGCAGCGTCACTCTTGCCCGATGCAGGCAAGCCAGCATTGCCAAGCGGAGGAGGAGCCACAGGTGCGATGTCTTCTAAGAGCTCCTGGCATTGGCATGGGGGCAGGCAGCCAAAGTGAAAATCTATTGGGGCACTTATTTGTGCTCAAGATCAACCCCAAAAACATTGAACATGTTGTCAATCCACCATTTCTTTATGGGAAAGGCATGGTTGTCTCCTGGGATTCAATGGTGAGCACGTCCCCATCAAAAGCTGCGCTGGCCGCGGCACTAGCATTCAACTCTTCGGCAGTCATTGGGACGGTCTGCACGGTATCGATGTTCACACCTGAATGCTATCAACTTTTGATTGCTACTATCTTGTTTGGGTTTGGGCCCATCCCAAGAAGTTACTGTTACCAAAGAAAGTTGGAAGCCAAAGCCACTGGATTTCCCACGCAATAGGCCTTCACGACCAGCCATGATGGACCTTCAGGGATCAAGTAATAAGGCAAAATAAAGCTGATGAATTTGGATGAGCAACCGGCTATGGTTTTGATTTTCTGTATTGATTCTGTATCTGACCTTTTGGGACCTACGTGAAAAGTATTCAAAGGAAAGTCATGGGTATACATGTTGTGACTTACTGATGTTAACACTGATAGTTTCAAAACCCCCGACTGGATGAGAAGGATTTTCGCCCTCTTCTTCTCGATCTCCCCCTTGGTGCCGTCGGCATCCGTGAGGTTGACAGAGCTGTGGGGCGAACCGGCTGAAGGAACCACATAAGTCATGGGCTCAGCTTTTGCCGCGGCAACAGCAGCTGGGCTCTCTGGCTCTGGCTGGGTGGCTGGCACTTCAGCGTCAAGCTGGTTCAAAGCAAAGAGATCGGTTTCTGGGTAGGCATCCGTTTCCTCCATCACCTGACTCTCCTGAATCTCCTCAACGACCTGGCTCTCCTGAATCTCCTCAACAGCCTGGCTCGTGAGGGTGGTAGGTTCCAAGGTCTCAGGTAGAGGCATGCGTTCCTCAGGTTCTGGAGCGGCACTAGCTGCCTCAGTAGCGGTGGGTGTCCCTGGCAAAACAATGCCACCATCTTCAGGTTCATCATCATCGTCCATCCCATCATGACCCCCAGCAGCGAAAGCAGCCGCAGCCCCATCACCACCGCCCCACGCATGGTCCAAGGCTTCCCAAAATTCGTTGAGAGAGGGATCCTGGCGCTGACTAGTTGACAGGGTTCTGACAACAATTCACCAACAAGGAATCTATTTGTTGAGAAGCTTTTAAAGTAAATACCAGAAGTAGCCCTGTTTGAATACTCAGCTTTGAATTTTGACATGTGTCCTTGGGCTTTCGCGCTCCACTCAACCAGCGGCGCAACCCGTGGGAGAACAAGCGTTTCAACCCCCAACTGTCCATAGTCACTGAAGCGATTGAACTATCCAAAGCGCTCAAGACCCGCCATGCAGTAACCTGCAGTGAAGTGATGGATTGAGGTGGCAGGATGAATTGAAACTAACATGTTGTTGGAAACAACTTTGAAGACCAGGGTGTGGCAAACAACAAACAATTCTGAAAGATACCTTTGACCTTTGGCCCCTGATTTTCAAACCAGGCCTCACTTCTCAGAAGTTTGATTGGGATAGCCGCTGGGGAGGTCTGTTGGGAAGTCCACCACCTCGCAAGAATGGTTAAGGGAACAGCGTTGAGGACACATGCGCGAATGGATGGGATGCCCACCAACCTTTGGTCTGGCCATACGCAAAGCTGTTGTTCATGTCTAGCCCTCGCCCGGATGCCAACATCTCCTTCCCAAAGGTGTGGAAGGGATAAGACTCCAGCCATGGGAGCTGAACGAAACAAACCAGAAGCCTGAAAGACCCTCCTTAAGCACCAAAAGCTGTCAGGGTATTGAGTATGGCTCAGCATTGAATTCCTGCCGCTTCCCCTCCCCACTTTGCTCCATTTTATTATGACGCTTTATTATGTTTTGATCCAACAGGATTTGCTTTCACCATCTTTTACCATGGACATCAATGGGCCATGGTTTGTAGTTTTGAATCCATGCCACCCTTGCCCAAACATGCGAGAAGCACCTGGGATCTTCTGGCTGCCGAGGTTGAAAGCATCCACGATGACAGCATCATCGGGGCAAAAAAGAGTTGAACGATTGCAAGGGGTAAATCTTGGTTTGATAAATTAAGACTGGATCCATGATAAGGGCTAATAATCAATGTATTGGTTTCTGATGTCTCAAACTGAACTTTAGTGACAATTAGCTTCTATTTTGTTGCAACGATCTTATGGGGTGTTCTTCCAATACCATTCCAGAGCCAAAATCCTCCAAAATCTTGAAAACATCAAAAAGTGCTCGCCAACAATAATTATCGCCGGCTGGCTGAAAAGGCAATTCTTTGTGAAACAGCAGAAATTTTGCATACTTTGGAGTTCGCAGGTATGTTAAATAGATCCAATTTTATCCAATTTTCAGAAAATGGGGTTAGGAAGAGAGTCTTGCGATTCGATCTACAACACGTCTTTGCCACACCGCGATTATTTACCGAAATCCATCAAATTGCATAGAAACAAGAACACAAATCAGACCCAGTTTTTTTTCATTCAGTATATAGAAAAATATGAAACACGAATACATCTCATGTTTGTTTCCACCTCATATCACCAGAGGTATCATGGCCGTCCTAAGGTAAACAGTTGGAAGACCGCGACGACCTGGGCGAACTTGCCGCCTTTGGTAGTCTGGTCTTGGGCATTGACGAGGGCGATGGACGCTGGGCGGGGTGACGCATTGTTGACTTGGTTGGCTCTTCAGGTTGATTAAGGTGATAGAACATGATAGAACTATACTTATTGGGGGTTCTAAACCACAAACTTCACTGGGGGGCCTCACTTTGTGAGGGGATTTAAGATGCCAAACTAGTCAATGATAGATATGGTAAGGGAAACCATTTCCCCAATGGGTCTTAGAGGGAAGCCTACAATGTGAGGCCCCCCAGTTATAAGTTGGTGTAGATTCGCCCCAGTAACTAGTTCGTTATAAGTACCATAAACCATAGTGAAATTGGAGTTATGTTCACCAACTGAACGCTATCTTGGGGGCCTCACTAATTGTACCATTTGTAGATAAATTCAGGAAAAACCAGTGATTCCATCGCCAGGAGCTGGCTGATGAAATCCATATGATCATATCCCATGAAGGGCACCACCCATCACGTTTCTTTTAACCAACATTTCACTGGGGGCACCACCATAAAAAAGGGTATCACAGCTGATCCCAAAAATCCTATGGTCATATCTGATCATATCCCTTTCACCATCATTTCATCATCATTTCACCATCATTTCACCATCATTTCACCATCAGTTCACCATCATTTCACCATCAGTTCACCATCATTTCACCATCATTTCACCATCATTTCACCATGAAATCATGGCATTCCCCCGAGGATGGCTGCGCGCGCAGAACCCTTCCGGCGAGATCCGTTTTCTGCCCATGGAGATCCAGGGCGTCACGGTGCTCTCGCGGACCGGGGCCGAACGCCAGCGGGAGGCGCCAACGGGAAACGGAGGTCCGGGTGGGGAGAACGGAGGACCTGGGGAGTTCGCTATGGAAAATGGATGAACATGGATGAACATGGTCTATCTATAGATGATTTAGATTGATTTAGCTATCAAACAATAGTGATGATTCATTATGTTACATGTCCAGAATTTAAGTAGCCTGTAGTACTGACAGTTGTTTGGTATGGATATATGGTGTGTAGGCCAGGTCATTCAGTTAATTGGAGGATCGAGCTGCCTTCGGGGCAAAAAGAAGTGGTGACAAGAGGACCCTGAAACCAGTTATTACTCAAACATAAGGTACCAACGGACCCACTATAGGTGTTTCAAAATCATGCAAAATCAATAAGTTTTGCTGAAAAGTACGGTAACAATGGACCCACTACAGGATGTGTCTAGTATAACCATCTCAAAAAGACTTCAATGCAAGTCAACAATTTTGAGCCATGCCAAAATTGATTCAGGTGCGTAATTTATTGTTGCAAAAATACACATACTAGGCAAATTTATCCGACATGAATGGAAAATGAGCAGGTGCAGCGATATGGCGGATTTATCATTCGATTCACAGCTCATTGAATGAAGCTCTTTCCAGTGAACATGTTGAATATATCACCATGTTCTATCCAACATGTTCCGAAAAATAAATGAATAAAACAAACATATACACTTCAATGATAATAAAAATAATAATCAATAATAATAATTAATAATAATAATGATAATAATAATATAATATATATATATAATATTATAAATAATATAATATATATATATATGAGTCATATATTACAGAGATATACATTTTATAATATTACATAATCATATAATATGACACGTAAATCTACAGTTTAAACTAATTTTTCAAGAACAACGCCACGGCAAAATCCAGGCTCTCCAGGAGCGGCGTCGCCGCAAAGAGGAGGCCGAACAGCACCAGAGAGATCTGGAGGCGGCTCCGTTGAGTAAAGCCACAAAACTATGCAGAAAAGTTGATCAAGTCATGGTGTTACCCTCTGGTTATGACTAACATGGCCATGGTATAGATGGCCCATAGAAATAGATGGTTTACCTATTAAAATTGGTGATTTTCCATGGCTATGTTAGTCATAACCAGATGGTATATGATTTTAAAAGGAGGACTTTATCAACTTGTATCTCTTAAAAGGGGGGATTGCTATTAGTTGCTATGGTTTTGTTTGCCATAAATATGGCAGTCCAGCTAGTCGCACTGCGACTAAAGAAATATGCGGTTTGCTTGCAGATTCTGTTGAACACAGCTTGCACTTTTGCTATAAATTAGGATCGTTACTAACTCGCCATTTTTTCGTTCACAGTATTGAAGATTCCATGGTTCTCGACAGATGGGAAAAGCGATGCCACCTGCACGTTTTGCAATCGCACACGCAAACCCATGCATTTCCCTCACCCCATCCATTAATGACAATTTTCTAGACTCTTTTTATAGTTTGTTGAACAATGCAACCCACAAGGCTGCAAAGAGTATCAACAAGTGAAGGGACTATGAACAAGACTCAGAACAAAAGTGTGATATGATCAGCGGAAAAGGCAAATCAGATTCAAAGCACGTTGGAGATATTATCCATGAACACAGATGAACACAGAGTTGTCATCTACGCAGATAGGGATACTCACCAAAATGATGAACGAACATGGCCCACGAACAGCGTGGCGTATCCTCATGATTGGGACCTGATAAGGAGCAATGATACGCATGTTGCTCAACATCACGCACAGATTTGCTTCCAGTCGCCCTGGATGAAGCTTCTCGTTTTCTGAACGAACTTTGAACGTCAAGCTCCTATTCCGAACAGCATTGAAGCAACCACAGAGATCCGCAAAAAAGCGCCGCAAAGGATCATCACTTCTAGATCCTTCCGATAGGGTGATGATAGTATGGTGATAATGATCTGATAGTGTGATGATGATCATCACTGGTTGGTGGTTTGGAACATGTTTTATTTTTCCATATATTGGGAAGAATCATCCCAACTGACGAACTTATATTTTTCAGAGGGGTTGAAATCACCAACCAGATCAGAATGTGGGATAATTCTTGTCAATCCCCAAAACCATGTTCCTTCATAAAAAAATGGTAGTGTCAACCCCATCCCCCAAATTCTGTTTGACACATGATTATGATAATGGGACGTCCCATGATGGTAAATTTCTCCCTGATTCCCCTATCACCAACTATCATAATTAGGATAATTTGATATCAGCTGCAATCCCAATCATAATTTGCAATCCCAACCATTGATATGATAATTATCCTATGATGTTTTTTTTTCCCCCCCCGATATCCTAGGATATGATAATAATAATCCCAATAATATCATATAATCTCCCATTTGATATAGGATTATCAAAGTATCAGAGGATTAATATAACATCTCCTAATCTCAATATGATTCTCATATAACTGGTAGTTCCCAAAAAAAAAAGAATAATCCCTATAACCCCAACAACATTCAACTTTCCATTTACCATAGGAGTTATATATATATATATAAAACTCCTAATCCCAATATTAAAAAAATAAGTATATCAATATCATATAATCCCAATATTACCATCTGGTTATTTAACATAGCCATGGAAAATCACCATTTTTAATAGATAAACCATCTATAAATGGGTCATTTTCCATGGCTATGTTAAATAACCAGAGGGTAATCCCAATACTAATATTAATATTATATATCGATATGTCTTCCCAATCCCACCCAAGCAGCGCAGGCCTGGCAGCGTCGCGCCGCCGATGCGGAGCGGCTGCACCAGGAGCGCAAACGCTCCGCGCAGGCGCTGGATTTTCAGTGCAAAATGGAGATGTGAAAATGGGAAAATCTAGGGAAAATATGGAGGTGATTTAAATGGACATAATAATAATGATAATGATAATAATAATAATAATGATAGTGATGATAATGATATATAATATAATACATGTGTGTGTTTTTGCGAACTTATGGGAACATCATTGAAATGCATGGATTTGTTGATAGCAAAAGGGCCCCTGCACCCTGTGGTAATCGCGTGCAGTTTGCGGAAAACAATCGTTTTCACAGGTAAGTCATCTCAAATGGGCCGTTATCTATGGCTATGTTAAATTCAAAAAAAACATGATAAGACTTGGTGATTTTGGAAAAATGGATTTATTGGTGAGAACTTGGAGAGTGTGTATGAAATTTTGTGATTTTGGCGAAAATTGGGGACTTTTCAGCTGCAAATCAAGGAACTGTTGTTGACATGTTTAAGTTTCATAATCGACATTGAAATGGTCAACGCAATTATAAATTGCTGGAAAATTGTTCCAGCTATATGTGCCAAGATAGCTTTACAAGATTAACCACAACTTTTTGTAGTGTTTTTGGGGTTCACCATGGAGCTTCAACCGCTACGGCATCCTGGAGGTAGTTTTGTTTCCTGAGGAAGACATACAGAAAGGATTTCAGCGCACTGAGAGGTGGCCCTCCTGTCCGACCGCAAGCAAATCAGCGGATGGAGGGGGTTGGAGCATGCACCGCAGAGAATGATCTTCGCGTCCCAGCAGAAAGGTGGCCTATTCTACCTGGTGAAAGACATGTGTGCCGCCAGTGTGACAAAAGTCTTGAGAAGTGAGGCAGTTGACAGCACATGTCTGCACCAGCTGCCTGCATGCTTTCTTTGCCCTAATCCACGCGCCACAAGTCATCTTAAATGGGCAATTTTCTATGGCTATGTTAAATAACCAGAGGGCATGATAAGACGTGGTGATTTTTGATGGAAAAAGTTTGGATTTATTGTTGAGAACTTGGAGAGTGGAAGTTTGGTGATTTTGGCGAAGATTGGGGACTTTTCAGCTGCAAAACAAGGAATTGTTGAGATATGTTGAGATGTTTCAGAGTCGAAGCAGTGAAATTTTCAACCGAAGAATGGAGTCGAAGCACCAGCATTCGGAATCTATTTTTTGGTTTCGGGCAATCAGCTTATGTGGATTTACATTCCAAAAGAACGAAGTAAGCAACCAATTTCGGAAGGGATTTTAAGGAACTAAATTCTAGGGATTTAGTTGATGAAAACGGGGATTTAAAAAAAAAAACATAAAAAAAAAAAAACAGATTTACCACGTCATTTGGAATTGTTCACAAAGTTGAATGGACTGTTCATCTTTTGAAGTCGTCAGTTAGGAAGGTGTTTGTTTGAAACTGTCAATTAGGATAATGCAGTCATGTTCCAGTCTGAATGGGATGGTCACAAACTATTGTTAAGGAATGGGTTGGATCTGAAAACAGTACGCGTTTAGGGTTCATGATGCTGAAACCAATTAAAACATGGATGGACAGAAAAATAAATATGCTACGAATCAAACAATTTCATTCTAATCTTTTTTAGCTGTGAGCATTGCAGGACAGACATGGACAGACCGCTCAACGTTTAACATTTGAGTTGGAAAGGCTATCCCCAGGCCTGGATGGCCCATGTCTCAATCGTAGTCCTGGGGTGGTGTTTCTTCGGTGACGTATAGTGATACGATATGGTAAACGTCAATAGGGCGCCCCCCCAATATAGTGTATCAAAAAAAACAGGTCCCCAGTAACATGTTCTTTTTGGGAGTAGAAAAACCATACAAGGTGCCCCTTTTCCAGCTAAGTTGGTGTAGAAGCCCTTAGATATAATATGATACGTTTACACTAGTCAATGGGGAATTATAAACATCTTTTATCACTGGGGGACCCCATTTTGTATGGTGGTTGACTACATGTCAGGCTCATCGAGAAGAAACTGAGGATCCCAAGGCGCCATTCAAACCATGGGAGAAGGTATGGTGTTGTTGGATAATTTTGGAGAAAACCCATGGAAAACCATGGTATTCCACTGACTTATCATCATTTTCTCGTTAATTATAGTGGCCAGTGCTTGTATACACCATGTTCATTTCCAGACAAAACCACCTTGAATATGTCTGTGCAACATTGTGTGCCTTTTCATTTTTTATCTATGGGAAAGGAATGAATCTGTATTGGGTATGTGTGATAATGTCTGATTGACATGACAAACACAGAAAATCCATGATCGGCTAGATGTATGGCACAGCGTGGATCCATCCTCGCAGCCAGAAAACAAGAGGTGGCACGGCTCGAATCAGCATGAACAGCAGGCAAATCCCATGAAATCACCATTTTTCATTGTTAAATCACCATGTTTATCAATTTTTCATGGTTAAATCAACATTTTTTAATGGTGAAATCACCATTTTTCATGGTTAAATCACCATTGTTAATGGTTGAATCACCATTTTTCATGGTTAAATCACATTTTTTAATGGTTAAATCACCATTTTTCATGGTTAAATCACCATGTTTCATGGTTAAATCACCATTTTTCATGGTTAAATCAACATTTTTTATGGTGAAATCACCATTTTTCATGGTTAAATCATGTTAAATCACCATTTTTCATGGTTAAATCCAAGAAATTTGACCATGATAGGCTGATCCGCCGTGGCTCATGGGATGCGCTAGGCGGATCTGCTGAAGCCCAGCACCAGTGGCATTCGGGGCCGTACCGAGCATCACGGCGATGGTGGATCTGTGACCATGGTGGTTGAAACCTACATTATATATGATATATACTGTGTATATATCATATATATATATAACATTGTATTTGTATGTGTGTATATCCACTATATATATATATATATGTATATGTATATATGTATATATATATAATATTATATATGTGATAGAGGTTTTGAAACAATTACGACATTAATCCCATATATGGGAATGTCTATGTGTCTTCTGTAAAAGTTATGGGATTGAAACCTTTCATTTTTCATGGGATGAATTCATGGGATCCCGTTTGATGAAGAGGATTGAGATTGTTCATGGTGATGCAGTGTTCTAAGAGGGCTGACATCCACCGACCCATTGGTGTTTCAGAGGATCATAAACTTTCAAAATCAGTGAAACCATGTTTTTTTACCAGTGGGGTATGGTGGAAAAGGGTAGTTTCAAGTGTCTTAGAAGTATAGGATTTTTCATAGGTACAATGCATGATATACACGGACAATTTACTAACAACTATGAAAAAAAGGACAAATGGGATGGGACAGGGGTATTTTGTCATGGCTTATGTGGTATACTGTATGTACATTCAATGGGATCTGGTTGTATACACCGGATAGTTTGTACTGTCTACACAGGTTGGTTGATAGGGATTCCTATTTTGGAACATCATCATGCCGAATAATTATACTATTTAGATATATAATCGGATATATCCAATGGGGTGCACTTTGTTTCGGACTTCGGCACTTCACAGCATCGCGGCATCGTATTTGTCTCAACATGACAATGAATAGCTAGAGATACTCATACCTTGGATGGCTAGTTACCCTCTGGTAATTTAACATATAGCTATGGAAAATCACCATTTTTAATGGGAAAACTGACTATAAATGGCCATTTTCAATAGCTATGTTAAATTACCAGAGGGTAGTTGAGCATCCCAACACAAGCACTGTTTGATTGATATCGACAAGTGACATTTTTCGACAGTGGACACAGGGTGAGTGAAAATATTCGGATGACGGCCATCGGGATTATGTAGTGTGTCCATCCTTTCAGCATGCTGACCATATCCAAAACAAGCATTATTGAATCAGTACTTCATGGTAATTAACCCTGGGAAAACATAGGAAAACCCCATAAATAGTGGGATATATATATACTGGTTGGTGGTTTGGAACATTACAGTACTTTTATTTTTCGTTCCAATATATTGGGAAGAATCATGCCAACTGACGAACTCATATTTCTCAGAGGGGTAGGTATACCACCAACCAGTATATCATGTTATATCCTTTAAGTATGTCCCTCCTGGAACAGAGTTGGAAAAACACCCCTTTCCTAGCCATTGAAATACCAACCTTCGCCTCCCATTTATTTTAGACGCACCAAACCTTCGCCTAGGGCTGTCCTTGAACGACACTATGCTGGGGAAGAGGAAGAGGCAAACTGACGATTCAAGCATGGCAACCAACAATCAACAGTTTGGGTATCATTCTATAAACCCAGATTTGGGGGGAATCGATCGGACCGGCTGGAACAAGCAAGTGCATGAACCTTCCCTGCTCATTCTATAAAAACAAGGTGTTGCAACCCTTTAACTCATTCAATAAAAAACAAAATGCTTCAATAAATGGATGTTAAATGGAAGTTAAGCATCCTGGTAGATGCATTCCATAAATCCCATGGAGTGTCATGTTCGATTCGAGTAACAGACTTGTTTCGAAATGTTTGGACCAAACATGCACTTAAAATAGGATTCTATAAACCGACATGTCCTGCTGGCTTTCCTCCTGCTGAATTTCTTTTCTGCAGGGTGTCTCTTGTCGGAGCCCTTTCAACATCCTCGACAGATCTGAATGGACCCTCTTGCTGTAAGCTTCGGCATTGTGAATATTGAAGTACGCAAATTGGAAGTACCGGGAGCCTGATGCCCAAATTCCTGCATTGTCAGCTTTACCTTGCCTGGCACTGTGCATTCATTGGTCGCTGGATCAAAAATTGGCGCAGTGGAAAAGATTATACGATCCAAGTCACAAGTTTTCTGCACCACTGTGCGAATGGCTTGTCGTCCTTTGTCATTCCTGCGGATGTGCTCTGGATACACCTGCTCCTGAGGCAGGCCAACCAATGAATTTGCGGGTTTATGCAATGAATGTTGCAGGTTAAAATGCCACTTGGATTTGGTCAAACCAATTCTTATTCCATAATCACCAAGTGAATATCAGGAGGTCCATGGAATTGGAAAAAGCAAGAGTTTATGAAATGAAATGATAGCATTGTTCAAACATGGTTTGCTGTATCTCCACGAACGCTTGTACAACAGTCTCCAACCGTCGTATGTTTGTAAAATGAATTCTGCAACATTAAACCTCTTTTCTCTTGCTTTTTTTCTTGACATTCACCACCACAATGCATTCTATAAGCATCCGTCCCTGTTGGCAAATCACCAAGTTTCCATTAGATCCATCTGGATTCTGGTGCTTTTTCATAGATCTCAAAGCAGTGCCGCGTAGTCGGCGATGCGTCGCCTTGAAGCCTGTTCCCTTGCCTTGCTTGGGGTTCTTCTTCTGGCTCTTCTCACCATCTGCCTTGTCTTCTTCACACTCCCCTTCTCCTTTCAAACGGTGGAATGCACCCACAGATGGCTCTGTCATCATGATGTGCCCTTTCTCCATGCTGGAATCCTCAACATCCAAAACGGCTACCACCTGCGAAGACAGGTACCTCCACATGTGGTGAGAGGGGAGGGATGAAAACGACGTTGGAAACAGAATGATGGGATCATGATACTGACGGATGGATTTATGTACCTACTACTTGGACACATTATTTACATATATTTATATATATATATATATAAATGCACATACAGGCAAAGCGTGTTCAACAACCTCAACCTGGGAAACGACGTCACACTAATTTTGTTTTTCAGACGACCTCACTTTTTTTTTGAATTATTGAAAATAAGGTACGACCCAAGAAATAGCTTAAATTGGTCAGATCAATTGAAACCATTTGAAATCCATTTCTTGGGATATCATCATCCAAATCTAGGCATTCTATAAATGAACAATTCTTTATTTTTGTTACTTGTTGACACTAGGCTGATGCATTCTATAAAAAAATGTTTGTAACTAGTTAACTCCTTTTATAAAACTACTTTTGGGGTTTTTATCCATCGAAATCTCAGATCCTTAAACTTGCCGGACCATTCCACAAATATGCTTGAGATTCATTCTATAAAAAAAAAGAAAACACCCTCAGAATCATTCTATAAACCATATTTTTTTTATAGAATGCAGTCAGCCACAGTCTAGGGCAGATTCATGGGGGATGTGAATTAAACCCATCCTTTTGGCTGTGGTTACTTCCCCTTTGTTGGCTTACTTTGCTCTCATGGTTCAGGCCACCACATATCACCACGTCTAAGAGAACTCTCGTCCTTGTAGTAACAAGATGTGTCACCACAGAGGTGACATCTCCTCTTTTCAACTACCCAGTGGTTAAGAGGGAGCCGTTGGGAGCTAGGGCTATTCAGAATTTCCATGAAATTCTCTATTCAATGGGGAGTGAGTTGGAGCTACAAATTGAGTTTCACAAGCACATGATAGTTAAGTGCCTCCCCTGTTTGGACCCCAAGTCATGAATAGATCACATAATTCAGCGGTTTTCGTGTCACTTGGAGGTATTTTTCAGATGGGGAAGGGATGGCTATCAAAAAAATGATGAGCAGCAAGAGTCATTGGTTACCACCAAGGATGCTGTGATTCTAATTATAGATCTCTATAAACTGCGAAAAACACAAAAATGGTCACTGTATCCAGCTTGGTGTTTACACTTCAAATGCTACCTGAGATGTTCCAAAAAATGGTTTTGAGAAGATGTGTGGGACGCATAAAGAAACTACCAACCAGGTGCGTTCCCAAAACACATGGTATTTCACCCTGCAAACAAGGCGCCAGATCACTACCAAGTGTCGGGAGCCCTGGACCACCGAGCCATGCTGACCCCCACGGTTCATTGACATCTGCAAAAAAAGGTAGTTGTGAACCCTTGATTTCAGAGGTTTACTATGGTTTACCATAGGTTTACCAACATGTATCCATATGTATCATGTATCCTCTTGTGCTTTGATATAACTAAGTTTGGATAGATTCAAAAACGAAAACACCATCAGAATCGTACCATCGACTGCAGTTTTCAAGATGTTCACCAAGGGGTTCCTGACCCTCGTGGCTGAGGCTGGGCGTACCACGCCATGCCTCGCAAGAAGAAATTAGCCAGGCATGGACATATTCACAGACATCTGTTGGCTGGGGAATTTTGATGCTTGGTTGGTTGATCCTGCCCAAAAGGCCAAATCATGATTATTTCTCGGATATCGGGGCCAACTGACCTTTCAACTATTACTGTATAATTTTGATATCCTCTTGTAGGTTAAGTGGAAGTATCATAGGCCCCCATTGTATGGATAATAGCGGTCTACAACCCCCAAAAAAAATCAGGGTCCTCTACAGAATAGGAACTGATGACATCCCATTGGGTAGAATGGAAGTCCATAAGATACCGTCAAGCCCACCTAAATTTTCATAAAACTACCCCAGCACCAACTATAGAATGGGGGCCTATGACACTAGCAAATATATCTTGAAACCAAGAATGTTTTTGGTGTCATGAATCCCCAATTTATAAATATGATATATTAATATGTTATATATTCTGGAAAATCATCATTTTCTAGTGTCATGGGTTCCCATTTTATAGTTCTTTGATCCCATTGTGTCTAAATTTCTGACCCAGCTGCACAAACTGCAGCAACCTCGCCATAGATGATGATTCGTTGATTCTTCCAGGTTGGTGAAGTGTTGTAACCCAGGAAGTTTATTGGAAATCTTGAGCTCAATTCTTGCTGATTTCATCTTATTTCCAGTTGGGACTTTTGCCATGTGAGATCTTGGCCCGAAACAGGAGGAAGTCGGGTTTGAAAAAGCCGACTGCAGCACCGAACTTCACCTTCCTCACTATCTCCTCATGTTTGATGGTTATGTTTGTTATGTTATATCTCAAGCTATATCCTCAAACCATCAAACTATCGCATTTTGATGCATTTGGGGATGCCCAACTTGCTATGTTCGAAAGATTCACCAGAATCGCAGTTGTACCAGGCCTACCGCGCCCTGTCGAAGTGCTATCCTCAGTACAAAAACTGAGCGTCGAAATTTTGGGGATCGAACCAAACCCATTGGAGGAAAACCGAAAAGGAAGCAGCAACTGGCTCTGAACATTTCAGGCATTGTAAAACACCCCAAAATTTGATGCATATTTGAACTTATTTGTATTTAATTTGGAATAGCCTTTTCCCGTTTCAGAATGGCCATATTTTATTTTGGTGTACCCCATTGTCAGACGCCAGAACTCCCATTTTCGGCCACATCTCCAATGACTTGAATCTCAGAGGTTGTACCACCCAGACCGCCTGAAAAGCTCTGGTGGAATGTTGAGCCAGGTGTGGGTGCGGAGCTGGGGACCACCCTTGATGTTTGCATCAAACCTGGGACACATCTGAAAAAATTGGGTCGTCCCCCCAAAAAAAGAGAGTGTAACGCCACCAGGTACCCCAAAATACGCGTTTTTTTTGCGTTTATGTTTAATACTTTACGTTTTACTATGTATATGTTTCATCCAATTAAGTGTACAATTGATTCTATATATTTCATATGTTGCTAGATATAACTGATGTTAACAACACCATGATCCCTATAGAGATTCCCAGAGATGAGATCCCCGATTTCCAAAGATCCCCGAAGAGCCCCAGACCCCCAGAGATCCCCCAGAGATCCAGGGTACATAGCTCCCAGAGGGGGGGTCCAAGAAAAAAAATGACCCCACCCTCTCTCCAGAGCTCCAAAATCCATCAAAATCCTTTATTTGGAGCCTCCGGGGTCCGGGAGCCTTGAAATCTTCATTTGGAACCTCACCGCGGCTTTAATATCTTTATTTGGAGGTTCCCCAAGCTTCAAACTCTTTATTTGACAGTTTTCGGAGCTTCGAATCTTCAATTTAATAAATCCAGCTTCAATATCTTTTCATAGGTCTTTTTTACAATAGTTGAATCTGATAATATCCTTCAAAGAATACGCAAATTTCCACTATTTTACTATTAGAAAGAAGGCTTTAGCAGAAGTTTTTGCTCTAAACCCGCTTCACTTTGTGTTGTAGGTCTGCTCCTGGCCCTGTTTAGATATAGACATATCATTGGAAACATCTTGTGTTCTGACGGCTCTACTGCAGCTAAACTACTGGCCACCACTATTTAGGCTGAACACAGTCTTTGATCAGAACATCCACTCATATTGTATGTTAACATGACAACCTATACAGATTCTATAATTTACCATTCTGCAAGGGCATCCCTTATCATGTTTATATGCACTTCTAAAAGTATAATGACATGCAAGGTCCAAATATGTGCTATTGACACGTTCTAAGCTCTTTCAATGTTGTTTTGTAAGAGAGACATATACAAGCCAATGCCACTTTCAATTTGTCAATGTGACTCCTATTGATAAGACTATCATGCCTACAAGGATTTTCAGTGGTTCCTATCTCAAACTTTAAGTTTATGGAATAGTTGTGCTATGTATTGGATTGAAGCTGATCTCTGCTACGTGCATGTGGGATTAACTTTACCTTGTTGTTCTATGATAATTGGGCAGAAGTAAGCTTACATAGTTCATGTGCATGATTTTAGGTGCATTACACAGATTGAACCAGTTCATATGAGGAGAGTCATTTACTGTATACCCCTCCAGGCCCCTCCATGCTTACTGTTAACTGGTGATGTCATCTTCACTTGATTATCTTTCTTTTTGTTTCAATCTTTTTGATGATGATTCAATCCATGGCAACTACAGTATCTATGGTGATGCCAGAAGGGAATCTGCCTTAGCAAAGATAATTATTTTTGCTATCTTCGTAAGCTGTGGAGTCTCATAGATTGCTAGAGGGATGCTCCAATGGGGATCTAAAAGCCTGTGAGTATCTCTCAGATTCCCTTTAAACAAATCTATAATCTTTGTAGGAGATATGAATGCATTTGAAACATCATTATCTAAATAGCATGATACTTTCATTTTGTATTCCTAAGAGATTATTAGTGCATTTTGGTTACTTGGGAATGCATATTCATAATTCACTGCATTTCTAGAAACGTGGATTTTTGAGGACCTGACAGCGTGCCTTTCTGAAAAAAAACGCTGTAAAAGGGGAATGGTGATTTTATCTTGCTATGTTTGAAATTGTTATTTTGATGGTTGGGATATTCTTTGATGTGTTTTTCATGGATATAACAGGAGGTTCTCGGGATTTGCTGCAAACTTTCACAGGGGCTTAGGGGCAGATTCTTCAATTGTTTGTTTGTTTTCCTAAAGATCTAAAGCACTAGTTTCATCATCAAGACCCTCGTCGTCATTGTGTACTGATAAAAACTCTGGTTGGTGGTTTGGAACATTTTTTTATTGTTCCATATATTGGGAATAATGATCCCAACTGACTTTCATATTTTTCAGAGGGTTGAAACCACCAACCAGAACTTGTGGAGACCTCTCCGCGGTAGGAACCACAGAAACACAACTTAGTGTTTCCATTGTTTCTGTTGGCCAAGAGTGAGGGGACTTTTTGTCATTCGGTTATTGTACAGGCTTAAAAAACGTACCCTCTGGTAAACAAACATAGCTATTGAAAATGGTGATTTATAGTGGATTTACCCATTAAAAATGGTGATTTTCCATAACTAATATGTTAGTTTACCAGAGGGTACCTGGATTATTGGGATTCAGATGCCATGATCATATACCCCATGCTAGGGATGCCTATCAACCAATCAGTACGAAGAGACAGGATATGGATGGATAGGCATGTCTTTCTCAAGTAGAGCTTCCTAGACCGCTGTCACACCAAACTTAGTTCTCCCCCGAAGTGTCACAAATATATATATATACCCTCTGGATAATTTAACATAGCTATTGAAAATGGCCATTTATAGTGGACTTACCCATTGAAAATTGTGATTTTCCACAGTTATGTTAGTTTACCAGAGGGTATATATATATATATTCCATAAATTTCTATGAAACTTGAAACATTGCAACAGTGGATTGTAGATATGTTCAAAGAGGTCGTCACAAAATACCAGACTCAGACATAATGAACCATAACATGTTTAAATAAATAATTATATATATATATATATATCATAATATATATACATATATACATATATACAACATCAACAAATCAAATATGCCATAATCCCCGGGTGAACCAGACGTTAAAACCACCGCCATATTTTTTCTCCAAGTCCCAGGCCGCGGCGCAGCGGAGCCATGAGCAACGCATGGCCGCGCTGAACGCTGCGAAGCGCACCTTGTCCGATGCCAGGCGCCGTCGTCGTCGACCCGGTGGGTGAATTAGACCCTGGTGAAGTAACATAACTCGGCTTGATTCACAACATATGGCTTCATATATATATATGTATATATATATGGTTCATATCTGGGTTAATGATGGTTAATGTTTCATATGTTTAAAACAAATGACAAAAGAGAACTATGGAAAACCGGTGGACAACCTCCAACAGGCAAATCACCACCAGGTGGACCGGAGGATCCGCCGGAAGTCAATTGGATTGAACGATGCATGTTCGAGTTGTCCCAGCTGTCATGAGCTGTCCCCTAGTTTTATTGGAGATGGTCATACTTTCAACAAGATAGAGAGTTAGATTATTTACACGCTTACCAACTTACCATACCAATTGAATATATTTTTGTAAAAATATATGGGTCAATCTCCCCATGCTCCACTGTCTGAAAATTCCAAACATGAACCGTGTGAGATCAACGATGATGTCACCTGACTGGAGCTTATTAACTGGAGTGACTTATAGCCCTACCCTGCTTACTAAGACCTTAATAAACCTTTATCAACACTCATAGTTGGTATAGTATCATTAGTGGTTAGTTCAATGTTCCCTAGTTATCAAATTGGTGTATTAGTCATCCAACTCTAGTTACAATCACCACAACCCCTAGTTAGTCCAAAAGATTGGCACCCCACCACATTAAAGTCAGCAACTTCACAGCAGGTTGCGTCAAGCTTATGACAAGACCCTGCCAGAAGAAGAGGTGCAAGAATCCAAGCATCGGCGGGATGTTGGGTTTCCAGGGAATTTCTTCCCCTCCGGTGTCATCAAACGTGGCTTGCTGGAGATTTGCCCATTTCTATATAGATGATAAAAATGATGAGTTAATATGAGTTACCTATATATTTGAACTGGTCAATTTCAATAGCTAATTATGTTAAATGGCCGGATCAATGGAACTGGGACAATCTGAAAAAAAACACATGTGGGGAACCCTTAATTAATATACACATACATAAACTAAAGAGTTAAATGACTTAAAGCCTAGCCAACCCAGGTTGAACATGAACCCTGTTTTTCATATTTATTATTCAAGGGGATTCAACCATGTTTGTTTTATCCAAAAATCCCCATTGTGGTTGGTTGAAAGCATCAACGTTGCCTGGAAAAACCCGTTCGATCCCGTTTCTGAAAATCTCCCCATGAACCAGCTGGGAGAATTCTCAGCATTTTGTTGCTGCATGAGGCCGATGGAATTTCGGTATTTTCCATGGGATTTCTGTGAGTTAGTCACAGTTGCCTTCTGGTAAACTAACATAACTATGGAAAATCATTGCAAATCACCATTTTTAATGGGTAAATCAACTATTTCTATGGCCATTTTCAATAGCTACGTTAGTCATTACCAGAGGGTAGTCCATTCTTTGAGGATGTCGAATTTCCAGAAGTCCCCAAGAATGGCAGCTTTCGGACGGGAATAACTTCTGGTTTCTCCATTGGGAAAAACGATTGGGAGATACTACGCGGATTTCACCAACAAACTGGTGTCAATGGACATATCATGGGAACATAATGGCAGAATCAAGCCGCTAATCTTCAGTTGTGTGTACCAAAAGAAACAACAACATCGCTATTTCAATGGGGAACACGACGATCAACCATTACAATTGGGGGTCAACAATTTTGAGACAGACACCCATATGGGTCTGGTTTAGACCTCCTGTCGGAGCTGAGGTTATTGGAATTCATTCAAGTTGTGAAAGGGTCTGAAAGAGAGAAGACCATGAATGAACATAATATAATAACATACAGTATATATATATATCTATAGTATTATCAGTTTCAAACTTTCAGGTCGGCTCAGGTCAGATCGTTCCACAGAAATGCTCCTTACCCAAGAGGAGCTGTCCATCTAACCAATGGTGCCAGCAAAAAGAACTAATGCATACTAATGGATACTCATGGTTCACCCAAAAACTGAGGATGGTTCATGTGTATATAGATCATTACATTATATGAATATGTATATAATATATTTTAAAAATATAATAATATAATGTATATATATATAAATATAATAATCTTTTTAATACTATTTATTTATAGTAATATATATATAGTAATATATATATATATATAATAACATATATAAAAATATATGCATTTAATAAACTATATAATAATATATAATAATATATATATATATATATAGTGATGTGTTTAATAATATTTATAATTATATTTTTAATAATATATATAATAATATTAATAATGATATATATATATGTATATATATATTATATATATATTGTAATATATATATATTGTAATATATATATAGTAATATATATATATATATATAGTAATATATATATAGTAATATATATATATATATTGTAATATATATATTGTAATATATAGGGCGATTTCTTGGTAAATTCAATCGCCTCGATTCCGCCCAGCCCAATAAAACAAACTCCCAGTGGTCCAGGCTGAGACCTTGGAGAATGCCAAGGTGCAGGCTGTGACCTGCAGCGACGATGGTTGGTTGGTGATATCATGGGGATATTCCATTGGATAAATCATGGTTAAAATCCATGGTCAATTTTCATGGTTGATATCATTTATGATATCAAGAAAATGTTTGATTTTAACCAATCATAAGTAATGGTTCATGTTTTTTTGTTTGCGGTTAGTCACCTACAGTACCAATGCTATCAATTGTCTCAAATTGGAGACGGTCATGATTCATGAACTGGGAATCTCTACAAAAATCAACCATCATTTTGGGGATTTGATGTTTTACTGAGTTTGGGATGGTTGGGTTTCATTTGGGTACCCAACAAATTTTATGGTATAGTCCCAAAATGGCCATGTTGGGTCCAAATCGGTCTTCGTTTTGGTAGGTACAACAATACCCAGTACTCTCTAATAATCAAACACGGCAATGGATAATCCCTGATTATACCCTCTGGTAATTTAACATAGCTATTGAAAATGGCCATTTATAGTGAGTTGTCCCATTAAAAATGGTGATTTTCCATAGTTATGTTAGTTTGCCAGAGGGTAGATGATGTTTGCATTTAAATGCCCACGTACGTGGGATTTCTCATTGCCATGTTTCATTACCAGAAGGTAAAAACTAAAACTGTTTAGGGAGCAATCGGTTGAAGTTTTAAAAGTCGTGCAAGCGCGATGCAACAATAGCGTCTAGAGGGATGTTTGTTATGGGCACTTGTTCAGAGAAATTGTTGCAGCAAGTTCCATCAATTTACACGCAGGTAGATCGAAAAGTCTTTGTGTTGCGGTTGACGTAAGTTGGCCTTTTGCCTTAGGTTTGAAACGAATTGTTGCATCACATCTAGATAATGCTTCCAATCACCACTTCGAACAGGATCTTCTTTCAGCCAGACCTCTGAGGTTCAGTGGGGTATTTTCAAAGCCATTTCCGAAGAAATGAGCACCATTTGAAGATGATTTTCTGGATCGTTCTTCATTTCTTCGGAACATGTTTTTCAAGAAAAAGATGAAAAGGCATACATACATACATATATATATATATATGAATAAGCCTCGGCCGCGAAGTCCCGTGTCATCTGCGCCTACTATACATCGACGATCTTTTTTAGGCATGTCTGACTATACGCATGAACTGGTCAAGGAAATGAATATGGCAAGAATGGAAATTCCCATGTTCTTCATGTCAATGAACATCGGCCTCGTGGACTTTTCCCAGCCGCGCCAGGCCTTTTCTGGTGACAAGCTGGAGGACATCACGACTCATCACTGGGCAAGGTGGTAGCCCAGGTTGTCTGTGAAATTGGTCTATGTTTATAACATTTTATAACTCCAACTAAGGTTAATAGATATTATCCACAGTTGGCTGGCGTAATGAACCAATCTACAACTGACAAACACTTTTTACCCACTTTCTACCCATTTCTTCAGACCACACTTGAGAACAGGTGTTACCAGCTCTCAGAGGGTCGATTGCCCCGAGGCCTGCTCCGCCGCAAGCAGTCAGATCTTTAGTCGACATGTTTTCAAAGTCAGATGATTGATTCGTATTGAAAGGGGTTTCCATAAATGAGGTACCCAATATCTGGATGACGTAAGGGAACATCTATCTATAAATGGATGATTCGGGGGTTCCCCTATTTTAAGAATCCTCCATGTTATATACATCATAAATGCATCATACATGCATCACAACTGCATCATAACTGCATCACAGTACACAGTGCGTTTACACAACATTTATAGAATCAATACTTCTATGATATGTATAGCGTGTTTCGTATGTCTGCAACGACTGCCATGGCAAGAGGAGCAATATGACTTCGACTTCATGGGACCCGACAGGCGGCTGTGGCCAATGGTTTGCTTATTTTTTTGCCACAGAGGCATGTACTGTGTATATATATATACACATATGTATGTTACAATGTTTATCATGCATTGTATTTTTCTGGATTATACAGTATAAGTCCGTCAATACACAGAAATTCATTTGTTTTTTGATTAAAAGACAAAATATGGATTAGATTATCACATACACCTCCATGTTTGTTAGTTAAATCCTTATTTTCCTGTCTTGAACATGCCGCACACATGCCTGAATCACCAAGTTTATGTGATTTATTTTGCCACATCCCACATTTACGTTGGTCCGATACCACATTTTATCGATCTCATGAAAACACTCTATACCCAGTGGATCGAATGTTGCACCTATATGATGACATTTGTGGTAAACAGCGTTTTTTAGGTCCCGACCAAAGAGTCTTTAGAAGCACCATCTTGGAATCACCAATGGATTCCCCCATGATATTTTCAGAAATATGAGGTAGGGTTGAACTAAACCATAACATATCCATGGAAATCTGGTCCAATCCCGACAAAATCAGCGCCTTAGTGTCTGGTGTGATGGGGAAACAATTCAAAATGAATATGTGTTGGGGGAGGAACTCTTGATCACGAGTTTGATGGGGAACAATCCTAACCAGACCATGCCCCAAACATTCCCAAACAAATATTTGTGGGTGAGCACTCCGAAGAACAATTGTTCGGGGGACAACACTATCGAATATCAAGGGCCATGTGCCAAAAACAAATCTCAATAAACCTCCATCCACGCCCCTTCACAGTCCGTCCCGCTCCATCAAGCTGCGTCACGCTACATCACGCTCCGTCACGCGGTTCCGACAAATGACCCAAGTTTTAAAGGTAAAAAGTAGGCTATTCTTAAAAAATCACGAAAAATCACGCTGAATCACGCTGCGTCACGCTACGTCACGCTACGTCATGTTTTCGACATGGTCCATCACGGGTCCTCATCGCATCCCAACACCCCAGACGCTTTTATATTACCACCGTATTACCACCATTTGTGAGCTGGGAATTTGATGAAAGCCAGCATGCATGAGTGTCACATCACAGGAAGGAACAAAATAGCAACCATTATCTATAAGACAATTGCACATGTCATGTTTGTTTGGTATTACTTCATACCACTAAAGAACATAAGTCAACATAAGTATAAGACACTTAAGGTGGACACCCCGGGATGATCCATTAATTATAAGGTAGTCAGATGTAGTCAGTATCTATTCCACGCACCCGAAATTGTAATATTGTTGATGAAATAGATTAATGATGAAGTACTGGTCCGGTTTGGTACGGCGATGTCTGAAAAGACAACTAAAACATGTTTGTCAGAGCAGAAATGGCATTGATATTACCAGATCAGACCCTCAAACCCCACAAATCCGACAAATTCCGACAAATGACCTTGAATCTGGGTTTTTACGGAGATGACCCTGTATTTTTGGTACATTGCCGTTTTTTTACTTGTTTGTGGTCACAGAGCCTCAGGGATATATATACATTTAAATATATATAAATCCTTTGTTGTGACTGTGCAGGATTACAGATACATTTCCATATACAAACTACAAAGAAACATTAAAGAAAAGATAGAAAAGGAAATCGCACTTCCCTTTTTTGTTGTAGTTTACCTCCCCACTAATCAAACATGGCAATTGAAAATTCCCGTTTATAGATTATGTTCCCTGCGATAAACCTCCACTTTTAGACTATTTCCCAGCCAGCCACGCTTGATTACCGGAGGGTAGTAGGGAAAATTATACTTAAGTTCCTTAATATTCCCATAGTTGGTTAGTTCTATTGCCATACAGTTATCGCCCAAAATACCAATCCATTTATGGGATGATGACCCCATTTTTAACCAGAAAAATGACCATTTGTAACCATTTATAAGCAGCATTTCGGGCCACAACTGTATATTCCCATCGTATTCCCATCAAATCTACATAATGATCACTTTAAATCCCATGATATTCCCATATAATCTTCCCATCTTCCCCTTTTTCTTGTAGCTTTCTCAAGTTTTCCGTGGCTTTCAGGCCCTTCCGGATTGCCAAAGGCCGAGCCGCCCGCGCCGCCAAAGCTTGTGGGAGCCGCTTGGCCACCGGGATTTTTGGAGGTTTTAGCGATAAATCATGGGATGACTTAAACCATCAACCTTCAAAGATTAAAAGCTTAAAGGATCATCCAATGATGTTTTTTTTTACAGGGATTTATCAAATAACATGTGTATATATCTCGAAATATGGTATTGAATGTTGGGATTTAAGGTTCAATTCACCATTTGATTTGGTGTTAATTTAACCCAATATGTTTTTTGTTTTTTAATTTTAAGGTTAAATTAACCATCATTTATGGGGTTAAACAAAGAAAACGTTGGGTGATGATCAGTCCATCATTATGGCTTTGAAGCATATGAACATTTGGGGATATACGAGGATAACAATGGGTAGAAGTGACTTAAATGAGGATTGCTGACCACACCGACTGGCCCGACCATGTAATTCTTAGGATATTTGATGATGTTTGGTATTACAACAATGTGAGGCCCCCCAGTTATAACTTGGTTTCTAAACCCCAGTAACTATAGTTATAAGTACCATAAACCATAGTTATTGGAGTTATAAACCAACTTAGCTTTTTTGGGGGCCTCACATTGAAGGTTATTGTACTTTGAGTGGAGACGTTTAAAACACCAGGGATAGTGGGATTTAATTGAGATATGATGGGATTTAATGGGATTCTATAATGTGTAACCACGGGATGATTGGGGTTTACTGGGAATTTTTAATAGGGAAAATGTAGCGGATTATGATATAGTGTAGATGTTTATTTGATTTATGTTGATAATTATATTCTAATTAATGATGTTAGGTTATGTACCTTCATGGTAAGAAGAACTATTGTAAAAAAAAAATGCTTGACTTTCACTACCCTTGATATAGTGAATATCTTGATGCTCGCACTTTGTTTCTTTCCGTTAAGCCATCCGTGCCCGTTGGATGGCTTGACGGGTCCATCGATATCCAAAGTAGGATGATAAAAAAAAATGCTTTGCATGAGGGTAAAACAATAATAGTAATAAAACAAAAACATGTTGTTTTTTTTTGGTTTGTACTGTACCCCCTATGTATGGTGATCTGATAATGTTTGATGGTTTATACACCCTATTCATGGTGATTTGCGAATTTTTGATGGTTTATACCACCTATAAAAAAGGTGATTTGATATTGTTTATGGTTTATACCCCCTATAAAAATTGTGATTTGAGAATTTTTGATGGTTTATACCCCCTATAAAAATGGTGATTGGCGATGGTTGATTATTGTTTTAACATGTTTTAACCACATTATAGTCTTCCCTTGGATCCGCGGGTATCCAGCCATGGCGATGAGTTGGGTATTCGCAAATGACTGCAAATCGACATGGCTGGTTGGTGGGAATGGGAATGGGAGAGCGCCTGATTAAAAAAAACAGACAGTAATTTATATACATATAATCTGATATGATATTATAATTTAAATATATAAGTGATTGATATTTAATTAATATGTGTCATATCTATTATAGTATAACTACACTATATATATATATATACATATGCGTGTATGTATACGGATACATATCCATCAACCAACCTTCACAAAGTTCCGTTGTGACTGGTACTTTGAATCCCCGAGCCCAGCACAGCCCCAGGTCGAGATCGCGTGCGTTTGGCCATGGACCAACTACGAGGGAAGGCCATCTCTGCCCTCACTGCCGTGGAGCACGGTGGGAATTTCATTGGGAAGCGCTGAATACACAAAGCCCCAACTTTATGGGGAACAAATACACTTCCTACAAGAGACACAACTGTGGTATTTTCAGTAACTGATATTTCAGTAACTGTCGGTGTAGTTCATGGGTTATAAGATGTTATAAACGAGTTACACCCCTTAGAATTTACCTTTTGAATCCAAATTTGATGGGTCTCGAAGATGATTTTCTTGCTGGATCTAGCTATAAGCATCTCGTCCATGTTAAATCACCAAGCACTGTATCACCAAGCATTGTTGGTAGGACACGTAAGCTCACATTGGTCAAATCGGTGAAAGTCCGAGTAAGATTTTTGAACATGGTAATACGGAAACTTTCCCATTAACATCCAGATATTTCCAGATGATTTCCCACATGTTTGATACTCTAAGTTGTGGAATCAAAGCGTTTCAATGAAATGTGCGTCCTAGGTGGGGGAGAAATTTCTGGAAGTCGGTGCGATGTTGCGTCCAGTTGGTGTTTATCATGTTTGTGTTTTCTCCAATTGATGGTTTATCGTGAGTTTTGCATGGATACCATGCAGATGGTTGTAGCATGTTGTAGCTATTCCCTTGTGTTTTGGGAGTTTTGGGAGTTTTGTAGCTATTCCCTGCTGCTTGGCTTGGTTTCCTCTTCTGCTCCACCGCTGAAAGCTCTTGAGTCTAACTGTTCTGAAAAGAATGCGAAAGCGTGTGGCTACCAAAGAGTTTGTCAGGAGACTTAGGGGGTCAGTCTCCCGAAATCAGATTTCGGACCTCGTTTGGACCTCGTTTGCACCTCGTTCGGACCTCGTTAAAATTTCAGCCAGTCAAAACCCAGCCCAGAGAGGTTTTGGAAAGGCTTTGCAATGGTCTGCTGCTTGGTCTGCTGCTGCTGCTGTTGTTGTTGCTTGTGTTGCTGCTTCTGGGCAAGGCGCGGTTTTTGGGCAGAGAAGCAAGAGATTTGTGAAAGGGCTGGAAGCTTTTGCCTGCTTCAGAATTAGTCCACTTTGACCGTCGGTGTGCCAATAGGATTTCCACCTGGCGGAAGATTAGTGATGTCTGGCGTAAGCGGTGTGCCATGCGGCTGGCGCAAGTTCTAGTAAATGGCGTAGGTATCAATGTGCATGTTTGGATAAGCGTCCACATGGTGTTTAACATCCGTGGATATATATATTTTTAAGATTGTGGGACATAACTGTGCACACGCGTCCTGATGGGGATGTGGAAAATTTGGCATTAGAAAAGTGCACTGCCAGGGATCTACAAATAACACTTCTACATAGTGCGTCCCATGGTGTTTTAGACCTGGTTGCATTGACTTGTTTGACTTCCTGAATGCGCGGCGTCCCATGCAGCTTTTACCTTCGTTCCACATATGCACTGACTTTCACGTCCCAGAGTAGCCGGAAGGTATCACTTTTTGGTGGCCCAGCCGAGACGATCCATGAGTTTCAACCATGAATCACTAGAGAAAAAAACATAGCTTACTTAAAATCAACATGAATAAAACAAGCAACACATGGTTAACTTACCCAACAAAAACATCCCACATTTTAGCAGAAATACATAGAAATACGCTGTTAGTTGTTAGTAACAAAATCACCATTTAGAGGTTGGAGTTTGTTGTCATTACATCCCATATTTCAACGGATCATATCACAGTTGTATCACATTAAATTCGTGTTCTGTTAGTCCCCCACTAGTAAAAACAACTGAGCCATTGAAAAAAACATTGTTAATTGATTATTATGGGGAATTATATTACGTGGTTTAATGGGGATGATTACAACCCGTAATAGGAATACCATCTAAACAACCAGTTTTTCTTGTGATGGGATAGTGCAGATAGTTGAAAGAGGGACATGTTTATGCAAGCGGCTTGTTTTCCGCGCACATAGTCGTACTCGTCTGTCTTGGGGTGTTCGGGTTGGGGTGGGGATGTGTCTACGTCGTTGCACTTGCGTCCCCGGTGCCCAATGTGTGTGTTGGGGTGTTGGGGTTGGGGTGGGGATGTGTCTACGTCGTTGCACTTGCGTCCCCGGTGCACCATGTGTGTGTTGGGGTGTTGGGGTTGGGGTGGGGATGTGTCTACGTCGTTGCACTTGCGTCCCCGGTGCCCATGTGTTTGAATCGTTGCAACGCTTTGGACCAGCTAAAGTCTACCTGTGTTCTCATCACAGACGGAGCTCCGGTGTATTCTGGCATTTCCAAGACCTATGGCATCAAACATTTTGCTTGCAATCATTCTCGCGGCATTTTCAATTTGAAGAAGCGCTGCAAGAACAAGGTGATCGACTGCCATACGGGAGGCATCGACGGCTGTTGGAAATTGTGCAAGAGTTCGATCCCCGCGGGATTGTCTTCAAAGAAGACAGTGAACTTGATGAAGCATGCACGCATTTGGCAATGGAGGTGGCACCACCGTCAGACTTCTCTGGCGTTGGCCCTGGGCAAAGCCTTGGCAGACTTTTGAGAGTCGCAGCTCGCGCGCGAAAAAAACGCTTCTCGATGTGGCGCCAAGCATATTGATGTCAAAATTGGTGACCAATTTTTGGACACACATGGCTGGTTGAAGAAAGATCAAGTTAAGAAAAATGCTCGTTTCACTACAGTGGCAACCACATTTTTGGAACCGAAAAAACCATGCTGATCAATAGTTGGCGTCACTATAGGCGCGGTTTCCAACCCGCCGGGATGTTTATGGTTCAACTGGTTTGTAAAGTTTATCCCCCATTATTACCCACGTCTATTTCACATAGATATGAGCAATGACCTATTCAGCTTGACGATTTATGATGATGTACCGTACCGTTTAAACAAATGGTGATTTTCCATAGCAAGCCCTTGAAAAAAAGGGCAACAAGTGCCCTGTGCTTCCCAATGTGACCTTCCAAATCTTCCCTGCTAGGAGAAGATGAGCCTTGCAGATAAAGATGGCCAGATTCGGCCGGCAGGCGCGGTAACGTCGGTCAAGATGTAAACAACATGGGGAATATCATCAATTGACGTCACATGTTAATGATGGGAATTAGATTCACAAAACGGATCATGTTTTTTAGTTTTGTGAGTTCAGTGAATTATGACAATTTCTCAAATGTTGACAAATGATGGTTATTTAATGCTATTTATATCACATCACAGCATTCACCATTGATCATCGTTCATTTACCATGAACCAAGTTCCATAAAGCATTGTTTACACGGACGATGGTCGATAGATAGAGTCGGTACGACTGGTAAAATATGATGTTTGGGGTTTGACCAACAAACGCCGCAACCTCCAATGATGTGTTTTTCGGAATCATGTATTAGGTTAGCGGGTTATATCATGTTCTATCCAACCCACTTGGATTCATGAAATTCCTTCAATACTAGATTTGAGTGTGTATCTATGTATTATATACACATATATATATATATGTATTATACACATAACATTTATATGAATATATAATATATATATGGTCTCGTGTTCCTACCCCCCCCAACCCCCCCAATGGTATAGGTCCCCGGGTTGCACCCCCTTCCCTTCTGTTTGCAAGCTAATGGCAGCATTTCTGAGGTCCACCCTCGTATTTGCTAGGTTTTTGCTGCATTTCTGACTACCAGCTTCGCATTTACTAGGTACATGCTACCTTTTAGACGACCTACGCAGCACACATACTCCCTCAAAGTACCTACGTGCTACCTATAGTCATATATACATGTGCCATGTATCTACTTCCTATATATGTATATATATATATATATCGGTATAGTATCATTAAGAGCTTCGGTTTTGAGTCCATTCCGCAGCAGTTGAACACGAACGTTATTAGGGGGCTTGTGAAACGTGCACAACTCCTATGAAACGTGCACAGCTTCTATGGAACGTGCACAACTGCTATGGAACGTGCGCAACTCCTATGAAACGTGCGCAACTTCTATGATTTATATAAGTTTTCAAACACTGCAAAAGCTCTTAACGATACTATACCCATATATATATATATACATACATATATCAACATATTTACAAGTTATGGATGCATACACACACATATATATATACACATACACACTTATATATATATATTTATTATTGTGTATATATATATATATACATATTTATATATATTCATATATATATATATATATATATAGGCATATTTATATATATTCATATCTATATATACATATAGGCAAATATATATACACACACATATATATATATTTTATATTTACATACAGATATATGTATATATATATATATTCATATTCATACACATACTTACCAATTGTCATATACATATATATATATATAAATACATATATATATATATATATATACAAATACATATATATATATATTTGTTTATTTTTATACACACACATATATATATATATATATATATATGTATTTACAAACACGCACACACACATATATATATATATATAAAAATATAAACATATATTATATATATGCGCAGTACCAAACCCCCACCACACTACAGGGGGGAGGGGGGACAGTACCACACCCCCACCACCCCACAGGGGGGGAGGGGCACAGTACTATGGCTGACCCATGACCATGGCCGGGGGGGGGGAGGGGGCTTGGAACGCTGGACCATATATATATATAAATATGATATATATATATATATATATATATATTTTTGGGTTATGAACCGTACATTTCCTGGGATTCATATCCAAGCAGGTTTTCGCTTTCCAGGTTGCATGTCATGTTCCACAGGGCTCCGGGGGCATGTATACATATCTATCAATTTAGGTGCTGTATGTGTATGATATAATGATAGATACGTATGTGTATGTGTATTGTATATATATATATATATATTAATATGAATATATAGTATATAGTATGATATTATGAGCTAAGGACCAAGTTCCATCTTTTTTGGGGGTTGCTATAGCATATAAGCAACATGCATATATATATATATACATTTATACTTAACATGTATCAATATGAACCATTGTACCATTATGTCCCGTGCTGACACATAACCATTATATATATATGGTCGTGTACATTCATGGATATTTTTCATGGGATGTAACGGGGTTGGGATATGGTTTATCCATATAAATACTGGTATATTATCCAGTGGTGAACGGAGGGAGCGGTGCCGTTCGCTATTGGAAAGACGACGTTCGCTATTGAATTCGGAGCCTTACAGGGCTACGAATTGAGTTTCTCAACTTCCCAACCATTTTGTAGTCAAAGTATCGGAATTGGATCATATTTCTCAGGAATGCCCAAAAATATTTGAGGGCAACCACAATACTTGGTGATTGATCCCAGCAAGTGGGCTACAACCCCAGTTGGAACTGAACTGGGTCCCTACTTAGCCCGTTAACAAATCCAGGCTTAAAGCCTACTTACTATGTGGGATGAACCTCCAAGTGTGCTTTCCTGTGGAGTTTCTGGCCAGAAACTGTCTCGGATAGTCACGGAATGCTAGTGTCTTTTGCCAAAATCTCATTGGTTGTTAGTGCTGTTTCGCATTTGAGGCATAAATCATACACAAATTACAAGTTGTTGATTGTTTCTTACGTTTTTATTTATTTATCCTGACTTATTGGGGATTATGTTACATTACAATAGGCAGGCACACTTTTTAGCCAGTATTTCTTGGGATGGGAAAGGGCGTGATTTTTGATAGCTCAAATGGTCCCGGTCAAGGCAACACAGACTCTCACACACTTCTAGTTGTCTCACCAGTATTTCTACCCTCTGGTAAACGTTTACATAACTATGGAAAATCACCATTGTCAGTTGGTAAATCCACCATTTCAATGGCCATTTTCAAGTTAGCTAACTGTTGGTCATTACCAGAGGGTACATGGTTTCAGTTGAGTGTTTGATCCATGGAAAACAATGCAAGAACTGTTCTGCCCATTCACAATTTTTTGCTTGTGGTCAACGGTCAGTGAATTCGTGTCAATAGTCAATAGTTCGTTCTTTGAATGTCACTATTCAATGATCAAGGTAGTTTCACTGTTTGTGCTAGTTAGCAGTGGTAGATAGTAGAAGAACTGATCATGTGGGTTGACATCTGTGCGGAATGAGTTGATATGAGTTGGGTGGCATCATTTGCATTTGATACCACAGGTAGGACAAGTGGAAGTTCGCCAAAGATGTCTTTGCATAGTCTTGAGAAAATCATGATTTTCAGGCCATGTTAAAACCATCACAAGTGTTTTACGGTTTTTGCTAACAATGATCTGGTTGGTGGTTTGGAACATTTGGATTCTTGCGAAGTTCCACCCCAGGTTTCCATCAAAACTTGACCATCATCAGATTCTTTCTAATCGCATTTGACGAAAATAATGGGGATGTGGCTGGGATTTACACATTAAGATGTGTGTTGAACAAAAATGAAACTCGGTTACCCCCTGAGTCTGTTGGTTCATCTCAATTGTTGTCTGTACAAATATGGTCGTCATGTTTTCAGCAAATTCATCAAAAGGTCACGTAATGATCACAAAATGCTTATTCAAAAGTGATGCGTGCTTAAATCATGTTAATTCAATTCATTTGAATTCATCGAAAGGAATATTTCATGTTCTTTCTGAGTGGGGAAATTGTTGTTTTGCCCAGCTCGGCTGGCTTTAACCTGATTGCTCAGCAGCCTGATGGGTCCAGAAAAGCCAGTGGTTGATTAGTCAATTCAAGGGGTTCAACAATCACATATATCATACAGTATTTTTAAACCATCGAAACAGGAGGGTGACGGGTGAGTTCAAGTTGATAACTCCAACATGGTTGGTTGGTTGGTTGGTTGATGATTTTGGTCAGAGGTTTATACGAATCCAACGTGGATATTCATGATCCGTCAGCTGAAAGTCTCCATCCGCTCCATCCGCTGTAATGAGGTCCCGGGCGACCGGACTCCGCAACGGGGATGGAGATTCTGTCAGGATCATGAGTTCATGAGCATCAAGAACAAACAGTTTGCTATTGAAAAAAATGCCAAATGGCCATAGAAATAGTTGATTTTACCCATTAAAAATGGTGATTTTCCATAGTTATGTAAATGTTTACAAGAAGGTAATCAAGAAGAATCAAGGTCGTGAGTCAATGTCTATGCCGGTCTCCGCAGTGAAACAAGTCGTGGCCTGCACTGTTGCGCCACTGCCAACTGTACATTGCCCATATAGTCCCGCAATTGATCATTGATCAGCTTAGTTGCCTTTGACTTGTCCAAGTTCTGGGTGCGTCAACTGCGTCAACTGAGTCAAACATCTAGAATTGCATGTCATAGGCATAGAAAACATGTAATATTGCTGCCTGACACGAGTTCGCTCTACCCACACAGCAAGCTTCATTAGAAACGATTGGGACTGAAAACCCTGAAGCACATGAAGCGCACTGTTCTCAACGATATCCTCCCCCCAATCGACCTATGTAAAACTGATGCTCTCGAGCTTCGAACTCACAAATCAATTTAAAAGACGACAGAACGGGACACAGAGCTTTTCTGCTCGTTTGCCATGCTCTGGAGTAACGGCTAGTAACTGCACCACAACGAAGCAACGCTGCGCTGTCGCATCATCGCCGTGACGAGCCGCTGATGTTTGCCTTGGGCCACAAGCCGTTGTCGTGGTATAGCTGTCCTTTGGCTAATTATTTGATGGGCACTTCGGCTAGGGCCGATGACGCCTTTCACTGGCTTAGGCTCTTGCGCGGGGCCCAAGAGGGGTCGCTGAAGGAACTCCATGCAGGGGGGCACCATGCATCATAGCAAAGCGGTTTGAATTATCAAGCATCACGTGGACCCCGGCTGACAGGATCCAATCAAGGAATGTGGTTCTGCTCTCACACTGTAATTTGGGCAGCAACACAAATGGAAATTTCCTGTACAATTTGGTCCTGGGAATTTCCCATTTTGAGACACCCGCAAATAGCACCCGCATACACGTCAGCACTTTGTGGAAAAAGTGCTAGCGAAGAATCATATCCCTAATCGCTGGAAAAGAAATTTGTTTGACCCTCATTATTTCTCCCAAGCAGACTATTGGATTGCGGTTGAACTTAAGCGAAGTTTGGGATTTACTTCCACAACCTGCGACACAATGGTTCGCAGCAGCGTTGTTGGCACTGAACTTTTGAAGATCATTTGAGCCTCAGCTGTCTCGTCAGAACTCAACCGGCTCACGCTGTACTTGAAAGTTGGGCACAGCCCCGGTACATTTGCAGTCTTTTGTGTCTTTACTGCCCATGCGTAGCTTTGGTCATGGTTGTTGCGATCTCCAGCTAGGTCCGAATCACTTGTCCAAATCATCAGTCGCACATGAAAAAGCAACACGCTGGCCGGGTTTCCACCCAGAAAGTGAGACCCCATCATCGCGGTGATCGTAAGTAGTACTAAGCAATCCTTTTCCCCTACAAAATGGCCCCCCTGTTACCCAAAGTGTCAAAACCTGGAGTAGTTTTTAATATGGCGCTGGTGTCCAAGATGAAGTGAGAAGATGTAGCTTCTTTTTGTGAAGATCGAATCCAGTTGTGCAGAGAGGCTGAGGCGATAGCAGGTGATGACACAGTTGCCGCTGATGATGCCCGAACTTTGTCAATCCAGATTCAAGGCTTCAGTGCAAGAGATGAAGATTGAAGAATGTAGCGGTATTCCCCTCACCCCAAGGACTTGCGGCGAATATCTCAAGGCCAACACTTGGACCTAGATACTAGGTGCTTGAGAAAGACGGCCATGTGAGAATGAAGACCGTTCGTCAAAACCCTTCAAAAGTAGAAAGTCTGAGTTTTAATGAAACCAGGGTAATGCGTGATACTTAAACTGGGTTTGTTTGAGCCTTTGTTGCCTCCCTAAATCCACTGTTTCATTGCATTTTCTCATTTCGGAAACCTTTCCGGTGTGTTCACCATGTCCCGACAACCCCGCGTACAATTTGAAAAGCAACAATTTTATTCATAGGTGTTTGAAGTAGATAAACCACTAGCTAGCTAGATAGATCGATAGATTGACAGACCGAAAGATAGATGGATAGATAGATTGATAGAAGGATAGATGAACTCAATGGAATGATGGATCAATGCATTGATGGCTAGAAGGATAAATGGATACATAGACTGACAGGTAGATATATAGACGGACGGAGGGACGGACTGTCGGAGCGAGATAGAGAGAGAGAGAGATATATATATATGTACATATATATATATATTATATAAATATATATATATGCAGAGACAGAGAGAGAGAGAGAGATAGAGAGAGATATAGAGAGATATAGAGAGAGAGAGAGAACGATAATTAGTTAGTTAGATAGATGGATAGATAGAGAGATAGAAACATGGATAAATATAAATATAGATACAGACGGACAGATAGGTAGATAGACAGCTAGATGTATAGGTGGATGGACAGATAGGTAGATAGATAGATAGACAGGTAGACAGATAGACAGACAGATAGACAGATAGATAGATAGATCGATAGACAGGCCAATAGATAGATAGATAGATAGATAGATAGATAGATAGATAGATAGATAGATACATAGATAGATAGATAGATTGATTGATAGATAGATAGATAGATCGGTAGATCGATAGACAGTTCAATAGATAGATAGATCGATAGATCGATAGATAGATTGATAGATCGATAGATCGATCGATCGATAGATAGATATTAGATAGATAGGTAGATAGATAGATAGAAATTCTCAATGAAATACAAAACTAATATATCGAAAGATGGGCAAACCGGAATATATGTTAACAGATGAAGGAACAATAGTTTGGTTGATAGAAATACAGATAGACAGTTCATTGTTTCAGGCACACATTTTTTCAAATATATATCTTATCCACCCAGGTGCCGACCCAGACTGTGTTGCACATCGCCTGGCATGGCCTCAGGCGGCATGTGCCCGAAATGGTGGGATTGGGGCTTAATTGGGATTTATTGAGTGAAATGGAGAATTAATGATGATTTCATGGGCATCAATGGTGATTTACTGGGATTAAAATCGTGTTATTTTTAAGAAATTCATGGAGATTTACAGGGTAACAATTCGTGATTAGCTAACATAAATGTTGATTTTATATAACATAATTTCCTGTTGTTACAAGGTGGTGCCCCCAAGATAGCGTTCAGTTGGTGAACATAACTCCAATAACTATGGTTTATAGGTGATATATCTATAGTTCATGGGGTTTATAAACCAATTCTGGTTGGTGGTTTGGAACATTTGGATTATTTTCCATTCAGTTGGGAATGTCATCATCCCGACTGACGAACATCATTTTTCAGAGGGGTAGGTATACCACCAATCAGATTATTATTAACCATCATCAACCATATAATATCCATATAATATCCATATATTAACCATAACCATTATTAACAGTATATTAACCACAATGGCAGGTATACCACCAACCAGCAGTGGCTAGGGGGCACCACCTTGTTACGGTATCTTGGCAGGTGCGCAGTCGCTTCCGTGACTTCATCGTGGGACGGATCCGAGACGCGCAGAACAATGTGGGGGTCGGGACCCGAGATGGACCGAACTGAGTTGTACCATATCCAAAGATGTTACCCTCTGATAAACATTGAAAAATGGTGATTTAATGTGATTTAATGGTGATTTAATGTGATTTAATGGTGATTCAATGTGATTTAATGGTGATTCAATGTGATTTAATGGTGATTCAATGTGATTTAATGGTGATTCAATGTGATTTAATGGCGATTCAATGGTGATTCAATGTGATTTAATGGTGATTCAATGGTGATTCAATGTGATTTAATGGTGATTCAATGTGATTCAATGGTGATTTAATGTGATTTAATGGTGATTCAATGTGATTTAATGGTGATTCAATGTGATTTAATGGTGATTCAATGTGATTTAATGGTGATTTAATGCGATTTAATGGTGATTTAATGTGATTTAATGGTGATTCAATGTGATTTAATGGTGATTTAATGTGATTTAATCGTGATTCAATGTGATTTAATGGTGATTCAATGTGATTTAATGGTGATTCAGTGTGATTTAATGGTGATTCAATGTGATTTAATGGTGATTCAATGTGATTTAATGGTGACTCAATGTGATTTAATGATGATTTAATGTGATTTAATGGTGATTCAATGTGATTTAATGGTGATTCAATGTGATTTAATGGTGATTTAATGCGATTTAATTGATATTTAATGCGATTTAATGGTGATTTAATGTGATTTAATGGTGATTCAATGTGATTTAATGGTGATTCAATGCGATTTAATGGTGATTCAATGTGATTTAATGGTGATTCAATGTGATTTAATGGTGATTCAATGTGATTTAATGATGATTTAATGTGATTTAATGGTGATTCAATGTGATTTAATGGTGATTCAATGTGATTTAATGGTGATTTAATGCGATTTAATTGATATTTAATGCGATTTAATGGTGATTTAATGTGATTTAATTGTGATTCAATGTGACTTAATGGTGATTCAATGTGATTTAATGGTGATTTAATGCGATTTAATGGTGATTTAATGCGAATTAATGGTGATTCAATGTGATTTAATGGTGATTTAATGCGATTTAATGGTGATTTAATGCGATTTAATGGTGATTTAATGCGATTTAATGGTGATTTAATGTGATTTAATGGTGATTCAATGTGATTTAATGGTGATTTAATGTGATTTAATGGTGATACAATGTGATTTAATGGTGATTTAATGCGATTTAATGGTGATTCAATGTGATTTAATGGTGATTCAATGGTGATTCAATGTGATTTAATGGTGATTCAATGGTGATTCAATGTGATTTAATGGTGATTCAATGGTGATTCAATGCGATTTAATGGTGGTTCAATGGTGATTCAATGTGATTTAATGGTGATTCAATGTGATTTAATGGTGATTCAATGTGATTCAATGGTGATTCAATGTGATTTAATGGTGATTCAATGGTGATTCAATGTGATTTAATGGTGATTTAATGCGATTTAATGGTGATTCAATGTGATTTAATGGTGATTCAATGGTGATTCAATGTGATCTAATGGTGATTCAATGGTGATTCAATGGTGATTCAATGTGACTTAATGGTGATTCAATGTGATTTCATGGTGGTTCAATGTGATTTAATGGTGATTCAATGGTGATTCAATGTGATTGAATGGTGGTTCAATGGTGATTCAATGTGATTTAATGGTGATTTAATGCGATTTAATGGTGATTCATTGTGATTTCATAGTGATTTAATGGGATTTAATTGTGATTCAATGTGATTTAATGGTGATTTAATGTGATTTAATGTTATTTAATGTGATTTCATTGTGATTTAATGGGATTTAATGGTGATTCAATGTGATTTAATGGTGATTTAATGTGATTTAATGGTGATTTAATGTGATTTAATGGCGATTTAATGGGATTTAATGGTGATTTAATGGTGATTTAATGGTGATTTAATGGTGATTTAATGTGATTTAATGGTGATTTAATGTGATTTAATGGTGATTTAATGGTGATTCAATGGTGATTCAATGCGATTTAATGGTGATTTAATGGTCATTTAATGTGATTTAATGGTGATTCAATGTGATTTAATGGCAATTTAATGGGATTTAATGGTGATTTAATGGTGATTTAATGGTGATTTAATGGTGATTTAATGTGATTTAATGGTGATTTAATGGGATTTAATGGTAATTTAATGGTAATTTAATGGTGTTTTAATGGTGATTTAATGGTGATTCAATGTGATTTAATGGTGATTTCATGGGATTTAATGGTAATTTAATGGAAATACCCTTTGGTAAACATACAAAAAATATGGAACATTTCATGTTTACTGGGTAAATCAATTATTTCTATGGCAATTTTCAATCACTATGTTAAAATACCAGAGGGTATGGCGAAGTCAAGATAAACAAAAAAAACAAAGGGTACAACTGGTACATATGAAAAACTCCCAGAACCCAAAACTATGAATTCCATTCAGATTGTCCACGGCGCTCGTTTGGTTCCCTGGCATCCCAAAGTTGTCAATACGGTTTTGTTTTGCTGCCCACAGTTTTATGTTTGAAAGGACCCGTCAAACTATAACATTGAAATGGGTTTGTCTTGAGATGGGCTATACTAAAGAGATCTAAACAGTTTGTTTGTTTTTCTTTCCGAGGGTAAAACAATGTAAAACATGTTTTAAACTCTAGGACTTCCGGAACACAATTCTCAGTTTGGGGTAACTTTGAACCTTGGCACAAGCCTTCAAACCCGCGTCGAATCAGATCATATTCCAATTTTTCGCAGTGGCTGCTACACCCCTGTTGGTTGATTATTATATTGGGTTATACATGGTTATACTGTGTTATACTATCCAATTTTGCTTCGGGATTATCACAATCCATGACCTGGGACATTCCTTGAAACCAGTATAAAGGGACGATCGAAGGTGTTGAACATGTCCCCAAGAATGATGTTACAAAAAGGGTTACAACTCCAATTCCCGGTTATTGAATGATAGATATCTTACAATGTGAGGCCCCCGTTCGATAGCGTTCAGTTGGTGAACATAACTCCAATTTCACTATGGTTTATGGTACGCAAATAACGAACTATAGTTACTGGGGCGAATCTAAACCAACTTAGCCATCACTGGGGGGCCTCACATTGTATGATTCTATGATAGAACGTGATCTACGAGAATTGGGTTGGATATTCAACTCTATCAGATTGGTCATGGCCACATAGAATCACTGATGGGTTGGATAGGTGACCATACTGCTGGATTCCGTGGTTCTTTCAGGTTCTTTCAATACTAAAACGGTCCAATGACTTGGATGATTTGGGGTACCCCTATGGCCCTATGACTTAGGAAAGCTCCATATCTGGCCACATCTTTGTACGCATGTTTCACTATGCAACTGACTGATACATTGTATTGGTCACTTCAGGAGCTGTTGTGGATGATTCATCATGGCATGATGCTATATGTAAACCTCTGGCAATCAAACATGGCAATTGAACATCCCTGATAAATGGAGGTTCTAGTGGGAAAAGCATCTACAATGTGAGGCCCCCCAGTTATAACTTGGTTTATAAACCCCAGTAACTATAGTTATATTACAAGTACCATAAACCATAGTTATTGGAGTTATAAACCAACTTAGCTATCTGGGGGGCCTCACATTGTATAGATGGGTGATTTTCCATTGTCACGTTTGATTGCCGGAGGGGAGATGAAAAAAAACGTCCTGAGTGGTCCTGACTGTGGACCAAAAACGATCAGAGGCATGTCCAACTTCTTGTCTATGTGAAATTTGTCGATTTGTTGCATGTTCTGAACTATATATATATATACATATTATATACATATATATATATACAGATTTATATATATACATATATATATATATATATACATATTTATATATATATATATATATACATACAACTATCTATTATATCACAGGTGGGAGACATGAGATAGCGCATATATCATTTTTGCGCCAACTCATCTCTCCTTATCTATATATGCTTAGATTATATATATATACGTATATGTATATATGTGTATATTTATATATATATATATAATCACAGGGTTTCACATAAATCTTAGTGGTTCCATGGGTTCATAGGTTCCTCTATCTTGCAAGTTGCCAGGGCCTTTCTCCCTGGTGGAATCCCTCGGGATTCAGGCACCGCGGCGCCGCCCTGCAGGCTGTTATCCAGTCACCTATCAATAGTCTATATACTATTGCAGTTAGTTATATAACAACATTTATCATTATAGTTAGTTACCCTCTGGTTATTTAACATGGCCATGGAACATGGCCCATTTGTAGATGATTTTCCCATAAAAAAAAAAACTCCATTTATAAGGGATTTTCCATGGCGATGTTAAATAACCAGATGGTACTATATAATCAATAATGAAAAATCCGTAATCAATAGTCCTATCAACGTAATTTTTACAGGGTGTTCAACTCTGATTTTTAGTTGATCTTATCCATTTTCAACCAATCAAAACAATCAATCATAGTTTTAATACTTGGGGACACTTATATATCATGTGTATATTCAGTGATCCCATCATGATAACATACAAGTTTCCACATTTATACATGAGTTGTCCCAGGGTTGTCCCATGAAAAGCTGCATTTTGATGGTGTATTTTCCATTATTTTCCAGTGCCATAGTGCCATGTTTGATGACGGTTTGCCAGTTCATGCAGTGGGACAGATGTTTTTTTTGCAGAAAAGTCCTGCGTGAAGATGAAAGTTCCAATATCCAAAGATAGCCAATGTCTGTTTTGTTGAAGATCTAGCCAAAGATCCAAAGATAGCCAAAGATAGCCAAATTTGATGATCGTTCGATGTTTTAAAGATAGCCAATGTCAAGGTCATCAAAATTGGACCAGGAACCCCAAATTTAACATGATCCAGAAACCCAAATTTGTGGTTAACTAAACCTCAAATCTGACAACTTGTTTTTTAATTAAGATTTAGTTTCTTTGTTCAAACCACATGTTGTCAGCTGAGGTGGCTGTATTCAAAAACATACTCAACTTTCGCTTCTCGCATGAGAATTGGTGAGACTTAAGTACCCCAAACAACTGGATATTAGATATAGCAAGCCCAAAAAAGATAGATACGTCATTGCCCAGAATTTCAGGGCTTGGATTTTGCCAACTTCTATCTTTCTAGGGGTACCGTAACTGTTATGGTTTTTCAGCCATGACAGGTACAGCTCCATCGGCAGCGGTCAGCTCCTCTTTGACCTGGACTTGATCGAAAGGACGAGATGATCCCGAGATATCCAGCCAGATCTAGACATGTGAATCTTAGCCATATATGGGTATATATATATATATGTGAGTTAACAATGATTTATTAAGATAACTCCAATAACTATGGTTTATAGGTGATATATCTATAGTTCATGGGGTTTATAAACCAATTCTGGTTGGTGGTTTGGAACATGACTTTTATGACTTCCCATATATTGGGAATTTCATCATCCCAACTGACGAACTCATATTTTTCAGAGGGGTAGGTATACCACCAACCAGTATATGAGTTAACAATGATTTATTAAGGTATTATGTCTTTTTTTTTTGCCATAGATATGTGTAGTCACTGTAGTTGAGAATTCTGATGTTTGAAATGACTGTTTGCTCGCTGCTTCATGCACTCAATTTTCCACAGAAACATCTAGGTTTGTTTGTACACATCGTTTCCTGAATTATATAATGATACCAATTTTCGTCAATACATGAGTTGTTAGTTTGCACAGTTTTCCTTTCATACGTTGCCCGAAGATGTTCGATTCAATCATTAAATCGATGTGTAGAAGTGGTTCCATGATGTTCCATATATGGAACATGTTTTTTTGTTTTGTAATGTGTTATACCATTTTACACCAATTGTTTATGTTAAACATCACCTGCATGTTGGTATACCATAAATGGGACGTTTTGCGGGTTGCACAGTGACTGGACACTTGCTCTCAAGAAGCCACAGTAGAAATGGACCAAATCAATGAATTGGATGATTTTTTGGAACATCTTCTATCTTTGAGGAATACTTGAAATGAATAGAAACTAGACATGTAGAAACTATCCTAGCTTGGATGGACCAGGGATTTGTGAGACTTATCTGCTTGGTTTATTGTGTTATCAACAGCACCTTGTAATACCATCATTATAAACAACTTCTAGCAGTTTTATTACAACTTCATCCTAGATTTAGGAAGAGATAGGGAGATACTCAAATCCTCTTTGTAATTCTTCTGAAACTCCTAGAAACTCCCAGGGCTTTGAGCTGAAACGCCACTGGACTGGGCCAGGATCCGCTACGCTGGGGTGCGCATCGCACAGATTTGCCTCGTGGACACGGTCTATGCTGGCTCACCACCGCCTGCTGCTGGGCGAGACAATCATAACTGGAAGATCGTAGTAACATATGCCCTTAACAGTGGTTATATAAGTAATATAAATGGTTATATAACCATAATGATATATAATCATAATGATATATAACCTTAGTAATATATACAAATGATATATAAGTTATATACAGTTATGGGCTTATAATGGTGTATAACCTTAGTGATAGGAGTGTAATGGAATAATATGGCATTATTAATAGTACACTAGTGTATAGTACTGTACTAATGGGATTATTAGTATTATACTGTATCATTTGGGGGTTCTTAAGCCATGGGGGATCCCCAAGTCACTATGGTTGTTTCTTTACCAATTGAAATTGTCTAATGACTTGGATGATTTGGGGTACCTCCATTTTTGAAAATCTCCATACAACCAAGGATAATGGTGTATAAATGGAGATACAATGGTATTCAATGGGGATTTGATATTATGTATCCATATCAATGGAAGATAGTAGGACAGTAGGATAGAACTGGGATATTGTCCATTCAAATATGGGGTAGAATCATAGGTAACGTGATATGAATTAACCACGTAGTTCGATGAAATGTATCTATATACTTATATATATGAATATATTTCACCAAAGAATGGGATAAACCATAATAGACCGGGATACTGTATCATTGTTGATCAATATCTTGATTGTTCTCAAAACATTAGATCAAATATTTCCCAAAACGATACACATTTGCAGATACCGGGTCACCCACTTGTAAAGGGAAAGTGAACGCTTTTTTTTTTGCCACGCCCTGAAGAATGCACTACGCTGCCAGGATTTGTTATTAGGGTGAACCTCTAGACACTGTAGCCACCAGATCTTAATCAACGGGACCCACCAAATCCCATACTGGTACCTTTTGATAATTTAAAGTATAGCTATGGAAAATTGCTCATGTATAGATGGTTTGCCTATGATTTTAATGGGTGGTTTCCCATTGCTATCTTAGTTTACCAGAGGGTATATAACGGGCCATTCTGGGATCTATTGGGACCCAAAATATCTGGTGATGTGCCCTCCGGTAATCAAACATGGCTAGCCGGGAAATCACCCAAAAAATGCAGGTTTTGTTAGGAACATCATCTACAAACAGGGGATTGGTCGTTGCCATGTTTACCGGAGAGTACTTTTGTTGAATTTTCAGACAAACCCATAGCAGCGGTTGGTTTTCGGTGAATTCTTTATGACGTCAATCTTGATATGTAGCCTGGGGTTGGGGTTGATACCCTCTGGTAAACTAACATAACTATGGAAAATCACAATTTTTAATGGGTAAATCAACTATTTCTATGACCATTTTCAATAGCTATGTTTGTTTGCCAGAGGGTATATCAGCAGGCAAGAATCTAGTGCATCGAGGTTGTGTTCAGCCATAGCACCAGACAAGCGGAAATGACCAGAAAGAAAAAGCAAAACGCAAGGAGCAAGATGAGGATATGACGTACGAACTAAGGCAGAGTATCAACTCGGGTAGGAGAATATTACAGGAAATGAAGTTCTTAAGGGTCAGGGAAGCCTGCTGATATTATTTTTGCTATCTCTTGGTTTTGTCTTGCTGGGTGTTGTTCCTTGTTCGGGTCCTTGTTCTTGACCTGATCCTTTCTGATTCGCTGTTTTTTGTGATGAAGTTGATTCTGGGGATGGTGATGATGATGACCTGCAGTATGGATGAATAAGATGAACAAAATGACGATGACCTCTACTCAGACGATGGCGATGACGACATGACGGTAATGATGATGGTGATGGTTATGGTGATGATGATGATGATGAGGATAATGAGGATGATGACGAGGATGATGATGATGATGATGATGATGATGAGGATGAAGATGGTGACGATGATGACGCCGACGACGATGATGATGATGATGGTGGTGCTCACAGTAACATTCATCTCATATTCTCCAATCATATCAGGGTGATGACGTTCCGAGGTCGATATCCGCAGAGCTTTGCGTCGGGGATCCAGAAGGATTGTGCCCTGAGGAGGAGGAGTTGTCAAGGGAAAATGCTCTAGAAATATACCTCAACTGTATTCAATTCTATGGTTTTAGATCAAAGTTCAGTTAAGCTTGTCTACACAAAACATCAGACCACGTCATAAAGCAAATATGTACATACATATTTTCATGATACACATTTACATATATATATATACACATGTAGACACATATTATGTATATACAGATATATATTACAGAGATGAGAGTGATTGGAACTACCTGGCAATTCAAGGGGTCCCTTCTGGAAAAAAAAAGGATCTCTTGGAGTTGGATGGTGGTGAGCCCTGCTTAGAGTTCACATATGGAAAATCCTTTTATAACTGGAACATCCTTGAACTAAGTCGAGCAAGTTTCAGCAATTCGCAAGAATTGCTGGTAACCATTAATTGAGGTTTGAGGGAGATGGGTTTGCAAATTTCGGGGAACGCCCCGCACCCCAAATTGGATGGTTAATCGCCATGTTTCACTATATTAAAAAGGTTATTTTATGTTATTTTGCGGTGATTAACTATTCATGTTTATCAGACATGGTACATACCCCAAAATAATGACATTTTTTGATTAACACCATGTGCCATTTTTAGACACACCCAGATGTTTTTGTTCGTTGCATAGCCTCTTCCATGGTCAGTTCCGCAACGCACCGAACGAGATAAGGTGAATTCACGGACTGGCAACGTGCGGCGTCGCAGCTGTGTCGTGCGGGTTCCCGAGGAATTGGGAGTTCAACTGGGTTCACCATCGTGTTTTTTCCCACTAGTATAGGATCATATAATATATATATATATATCTGTATAATTATATATATATATATGAATTATACACATGATCACTAGTATAATGCGATCATTGATGTTGTTTAGTACTATACCAATGAGATTTTTAGTATTGTATTATGTTTATTACCTTTTTTCCCAACCTGCCAGGTGAGGGTTGTTAGATTTTATCAGAGCTGTTGTCCTCCTCCTTCTCCTCCTCCTCCGCCTCCTCCTCCAGTTTCTCCTCGACCATGTCTGCATCAACTTCCACCTCCACTTCCGCCTTGCCAACTCTTCGCCAAGCTCTTCGCCAACTTCCGAGCTCAGTGCGCACTGCTGGACCTCAACCTGGGACCTTCCCAGCTCAGTGCGCACTGCTGGACCTCAACCTGGGACCTTCCAAACTCAGTGCGCACCGCTGGACCTCAACCTGGGACCTTCCCAGCTCAGTGCGCACCGCTGGACCTCAACCTGGGACCTTCCCAGCTCAGTGCGCACCGCTGGACCTCAACCTGGGATCTTCCCAGCTCAGTGCGCACCGCTGGACCTCAACCTGGGACCTTCCCAGCTCAGTGCGCACCGCTGGACCTCAACGGCCAGTAAGAATGCCAGAAGATATGCCAGATAGAACGTCAGATAGCATGTCAGATAGGATGCCAGAAGATATGCCAGATAAGAATGCCAGATAGAATGCCAGAAGATATGCCAGAACATATGCCAGAAAATATGCCAGATAGAATGCCAGAAGGTATGCCAGATAGAATGTCAGATAGAATGCCAGAAGGTATGCCAGATAAAGTGCCAGAATGTTTGCCAGATAGAATGCCAGAAGATTTGCCAGATAGAATGCCAGATAGGATGTCAGAAGATATGCCAGAAGATATGCCAGATAAGAATGCCAGATAGAATGCCAGAAGATATGCCAGAACATATGCCAGAAGATATGCCAGGTAGAATGGCAGAAGATATGCCAGATAGAATGCCACATCGAATGCCAGAAGATATTTCAGATAGAATGCCAGAAGATTTGCCAGTAACAAATCGATAAATGTCATGGTGGGGATCACACGAAGTAACGTAATTTTGAGTCATGGGGGATCCCAAGTCACCATAGGTTCCAATACTATTTCTAGGGCTAGTTTTCAGATGATTGGAGAGTACCACCATCTGGGCAATGATCTACTCACAGTTCATATGCCCTGCACGAAAAAAACAAACTTGAAAATTGCCAGCTTTTAGTGGAAACATGTGGAAGCTAATCTTCCAAACCCCTATTTGGCAGGGTCTATGATCAATATAAATATATATATATACACATAATGTTTTATATAAGTCGATTCCACATATGAAAACTGGGTGATTTCAAAACTCCATGCTGCCTGATTTTCTTCATCAAAACCGTGGGCAAAAGATCATCGACCGGTGAGCCAAGGACAGGAGCCCGCGGAGGTCTTGGTCTTTAGCGAAGTCTGGGACTACTACGAGAGCTGCTGTGGGGGATCTTGGAGGCAGAGAAGAACTGATGGATCGTCCACAATGTTTTTTCTTTTGAAAGATAGGGGATGACAAGGGTATATACATGTATATAGATGTTGTTACTATAGTCATTGACTATGTTTGTTTTGTTATTGTTATCATCATCATCGTCGCCGTCGTATCATCATCATCATCATCACCATCATCATCATCATCATTTTAATATTCATTCATCATTCACCATTCACCATTCACCATTCATCATTCATCATTCATCATTCATCATTCATCATTCATCATCATATGTAGGATGTAGGATGTGGGATGTAGGATGTAGGATGTAGGATAGGTATATTATGTGTATATATATATATACATATGTTATATTGGTTAAATGGATGGATTGTTCACTACAACTCTAGATCCTCTGTACGGGATAGTAAACTAGCTTAAAACGTGCATGGTATCTAACCCTAGTTAACCTGATGAACTAAACCAACTTAGCTAACATTAGCCAACTATGAGTCATCGCCTTTCATGATCTTTCATGTATATTATATATATATATATATTTATACACATACATGTATCTATGGCTACCTGTATCCAAGTAGGATGTGCCGCCCAGGCCTGTTTCCGGGACTTGATTTTTCTCGGAAACTGCCGAGGTGAATCCGAATCGTCAGCTTTTCCCGATTCCGAGCGCTACAGGTGGCTTGAGATGCTAAGAACACCCACGAAACGCAAGAAAGATGTTGCTAGAATATTACTGAATAGTGGTAAAGTACTGTTTGTTCCCAATTTTTAGGGGTTGCAATCTATATGGAAGAAAAAACTGGTCAGAATGGCAAGTTGCAAGTTCACATAGAATCACATTGATATATATATATATATTCAATACATATATATATTATATTGTATATAATTGTTTATATATATATATGTATATTGCAATTGTATTGATATTTCACTATGATTCGTAAGGAAAACTCAAATAATGATCAATACAAATATATCATATACGTCATACTCCCTCCGGTAATCAAACGTGGCAATGGAAACTCCACCGATGTTTTTCCCATTAAAACATCCAGTTATATTTTCCCATTGCCACGTTCGAAGAGGGTAAATTTAATGCTGATAAACATGAAATTTTATGGGATCTGTTCACTTGTCACGGCGTCTCATCACTTGGTTGGATCATTTGTTTGTATCTACCTTTGAGCAGTTGGACAGTTTGTCTGACCATGGGGATCTTGCGATACAGACCCGCATGGCACAGTGGAGTTCGTTGGCACTCTGGGGTGCCCAGAAATGGCATATATTGAAATCTGACACGACCAAAAAACATGGATGTCAGGTGATATTTGTTTCGGCCGTATACTCCATTAAGACATTGTGGCAGTGGACAAAGTGGACAACCCAAAATGCCTCTGACGCTGCGTCAGAGGCAACCCTGCGACCTCTTAGTACACTGCCCGAAGCCCAAGATGTTTGCGCGAGTCGGTGTGAAGCAGGGTCGTTTAAATTCGTTGTGGAACTGCGTGGAACCTCGCAACAAATCGGAACCGTTCTTGTTGAACTAGCCAGTTTTTGAATTTGATATATTTAAAATATTTTGTCGGTAGAGATCTTAGCTTTAAAAATAATTTGTTTCTTCGACATTTTGCCAACTTGACGCTGCCTCAAGTCCTCTGGCTGGTAGACAAGTAAATGGTTTCACATGCATGTTATCGACAAATGTGATCCAAAAAACTTGGAAATTCGCAAACATGGTAATTTAACAGTTCGCTATTGAAGATGACCCAATCGAAATAGTGGATTTAGCCATTGATAGCATGGTGGATCTTTCCAGTTCGTTATCTGGCTGTTTACCAGATGGTAGCGGTTGGCGGTCTCGTTCTGTTCCCTGATGGTTGGAGGGAAGCATCCCGCAGTTTCTTTCAGATTGGTGAATTCTTAGAACTTATCTGAAAGAAACTCATTGTGGGAACTCATAAGTTACCAATTTGTTCTAACTCTTATTTGGGGTGAATGCATATAGAATGTGGGTAAAACAATTTCATAAACCATCCCCCAGTCATCACCATTTTTATAGGTGGTATAAACCATTTGCAAATGGGTGGTGCAAATGGCATTGTTTTACCCACATAAAAAGTCCACATGAATCAAGAATTCTGGATGAATTATAACATCCTCATGGCGCGAAACTCACTGGAATGATGGTTAGGGGTAACCATCCTCAAACAGCCTTACCCTCTGGTAAGTTAACATAGCCATTGAAAATGCCCATAGAAATAGTGAATTTTCCCATTAAAAATGCTGATTTTCCATAGTTATGTAAAGGTTTACCAGAGGGTAGTTCAGCTTTGTCCAATGTGTTTTATGTATTTTGACGTCAGATTATCCCGTTATCAACCATGAAGAACCATTATTAGCTATTATTACAAGGTTGTGCCCCCTAGATAGTTAAGTTGTTTTATATCTCCAATAACTGTGGTTATAGAGAATATCATGGAATATCTACAATGTGAGGCCCCCAGGATAGCTAAGTTGGTTTATAACTCCAATAACTATGGTTTATGGATGTTTATGGTACTTATAACTATAGTTGCTGGGGCTTATAAACCAACTTATAACTGGGGGGCCTCACATTGTATGAATATCTATAATCTATACTTAATGGGGTTTTTAAACTAACAAACATAACCGGGGACCACCCTGTAACCATTCTTACCCAGATTGGAAACTCATCTCTCGTTGGAATTTTTGGCGTTTTCAGGTGATGCCGCCTGGCCCGGTGCCGATGAGGAGTGGGGACGTCAGGTCACGAATGATGTTTGGGAAAAGCCGCCCCAAGGAAATGAGAATCTGTTGCTTTTGTTTATTTCGGTGATTTACCATTATTTACATTTACCTACTGTGGCGATGTTCAATGCGATGTTACTAGAGGCTACATTTTGAATCCAGTAATTTAACAGTTTGCTAATAGAATCTAATAGGTAGATATTAGATTATATTAGATGAATTCCATGGCCAGCTAATAAATTGAGGATAATCCCACCATTTCATATTGAACACGCCGTGAAGAGAAGTCACGCCGGATGTTACGAAAAACAGCTCCAAGAAATCATGTTTTTTTGGGGGGATGAAATCACATACCCTCTGGTAAACTAACATAGCTATTGAAAATGACCATTTATAGTGAGTTTTCCCATTAAAAATTGTGATTTACCATAGTTATGTTAGTTTACCAGAGGGTAGTGTTTGGGACCATTGAGTGACCTGTCCGTGAACATCTTAGGGGCCTGTGATTTGCAACATCCAAAATTTGCCAAAATTTGTAATTCTACTGTTGGATTACTCTTTAAGTACGTTCAAAAAAAATAACACGTACTGTTCCGATGTAAATCATCACATTGTGTCAAATTCGAATCTAAAAAAACTAGTGTTGATTTGGCTAGGTTTCTATTTTTTAGGGGCTGCTATATTCAATCAGGCGCGCAGAGCAGATGATTTCAAAGAATCACGTGTTACCGTGTTACCAGAAATTATTGCTGTCATGTGTAGCGCACACCACTCGGAAAGTTCTTTATTTGATTCACTGGTTGGTGGTTTGGAACATGAATTTTATTTTTCCATTCAGTTGGGAATTTCATCATCCCAACTGACGAACTCCATCATTTTTCAGAGGGGTAGGGCTCAACCACCAAGCAGTTCAGAACCACATTCTACAGTACAAACTGCATGGCAAAACCATCCCCAATGCTTAGACTTAGGTTCACCACGCGAAAAATTTAGGATCTTCAGGATATCCTTCATCACTTGTAAAGTAACATAGATATTGAAAATCACCAAACATCCACAAACATTTACTATTTCTAGACAATTTCCATGATATATCCCATGTTTATTATCATTATTATCTATAGTCGCCAGACAGTTTAAAGATGATTTAAATATGTTTGAAGACATATGGAGGTTTCCTAAAATCGGGGTACCCCAATAGCTGGATGGTTAATATGGAAAATTGTTTTAAAATGGATGATTTTGGGGTACCCCCATTTTAGGAAACCTCCTTATGTAACCCCTAAGTCTATGCATACGGTATATGATGATCCATCAGCATAGACATCATACTTTAAAGGCTTCTTATTTCATCTTATTTCTGAAATTCTATGGACATAGCATTTTAATAGGATTTACCATTATATAAGATATGATGTTATCTGCTGGTTTAAGATGGACATACCATTTTGATAGGATTTACCACTATTTTACGCATCCATACCCCATGGAAATCTACAAAAAAAGCTCCGCAGGAGCTGGAACAATTGGCGCAAGTCTCTCTGAGTCGAGGACGGCCGGCCACCCCTCCCTTTGGTTGCTACAAACAAATATTGATTAACTTTATTCAATATAGTACCCTCTGGTAAATAAACATAGACCCTGAAAATAGCCAATGTTTAATGGAAACTAGTCTTCCAACCCCTATCTGCCAGGGTCTATGTTAAATTACCGGAGGGTATTGTATATACTTGTATTTACCAACTATAACTTTACATAGGTATTGATTGTATATATATAGTTCCATTTCAATCTATGCATTTGTAAACATAATAACATTTAATATATAGATATTAGATATAAGGATCAGATAAATAGATAGATAATGGATATATACACATAGATATTTCCATTTACTATACCTGCGGTAATCAAACCTAGATATAGATAGAAATAGATAGATATAGACAGATATAGGTAGATATAGACATAGCTAGATTTATACAAAAAACTATTTATTGAGTCCCAACCAATGCCTGCAACAGCCAGGTCTTTTCCGTGCCAGTCTATAAAAAAAACTATGATTTTTCATTTTTTCCACGGTCTACAGTTCAAATATGTTGTTTGAGAATCATGTTTGGTTTCCATCAAAACCATGAAACTAGCCGCAAGTTTATCGCCAAATTTTGCTCGGTGGATCTCTATGTTTGCTGGTCAAATTTACATCTCTGTTCGCTAATCGCCATTTCTTTTGATGTTTAGAGCCCAATGTTGGATAAACAAGGTGAAACCAGAGACCATGTCAAAGCATGGCTTAACCGTTTAACAAACAAATGCAAACATAAGATCAACACCTTCTTGAACCATCTTAAACATTCTTAAACCATAGAAAATCACGACCTAAAACAATGGTAGACACATATTCACCCCTCTTCAACCAAGAGAAAATTGCGTAGCACAATAGTAGGACCCTGTTAAGCCATCTTGAACCAGCTTCAACCATATAAGATCATGCAACACAATGGTAGAACCATCTCTTTTTCCATCTTGAACCACATCAACTCAGGTAACAGCATCTAGTAAAATCATATCTTAAAACCATCAAATCAACTGCAGTATATCTTCAAAGAGTATAATTGAAAACAGATTGTTCATCCCTATTTCACATCCATCCTTATATAACATCTGTTGAAAATGGTGATTTACAGTGGAATTACACATTAAAAATGGTGATTTTCCATCGTCTTTTGTAGGTTTTTTGTAGGTTTACCCATTAAAAATGGTGATTTTCCATAGTTTTGTATAACATCCTAACCATCCTGCACAGATCACCGCCTTTTCGAGGTGGTCTCTTTGCCCAGCTCTCGCAGCAAGCAGTGACCGATGTCGATGTGGCTGGGACCGCTGGGACATCAGTGACTTGGCGGAATGGGATAACCAGTGGAAAAATCTGGAAGATATCAATATATTATATCGTATCAATATATTTTACATATATATATATGGCGGTATACATGTGTATGTGTATATATATATATATGTTGATATGTTTTTTATTCCTGTGATTGGTTGGGGATAGAGTGTGTATGGTGTGTATGTGTATACACTACTATATTTATATATAATATACATCAATGTATACTCAATAATTATTCGAACTTTCTAGATCATGATAATATATAATATATAATAATTTGGTATATGTGCAGGGATATGTGGATTTTTTCACAGGGTATTTTTCTGGGTACTGGAGGTTTGCTGAAGATTTGTTCCTCGTCACCCCCTTTATTTGACCTCTCCCAACGTAGGACCGCCAGCATTCTCTATGTTAGTGGAGGATGATGCTATCCCACCGATAATCAATCATGTGTTGCGAGGTATCCAAGATGTTTGATATCCAATGATATTCATATGTATTACAGTCTGTTATATATGCATATACATACATACATATACATGTACATTTACATATACATGTTAATATATCATATACATGTTAATATTAATATATATATATATACACATGCGTAGATGCATACGTACGTACCTACCTACATACATTACTTTACATTTACATTGACATTTACATTTACATCACATGCATGCATTGTAATTTTAGCGCACTGATGTCGTAGTTACAGCCCCATCAATGATGGCCCGTTCTTTTTTCTCCCACACAACCAACCAAAGCAGCGCGACGCGAGGAGGTCAATGAACGTGGACACAGTTTGGCTCCTTTGATGGCTCGCGCGTGGATCCAGATGGATGCTCAAGGCCCATGGAATGCATGGGCCATGGCGATGGTGCATGGCGATGGTGCGATATCTCTGGCCCAAGAAGGGATTCAACATGATTTACCCTCTGGTATACAAAAAACTATGGAAAATCACCATGTTTAATGGGTAAATCCATTATAAATTGCCATTTTCCGTAGTTTTTGGTATGTTTACCAGAGGGTACATAACCTGAAAAAACATGTTTTTAATGGGGTTGAGCATGAACTTAAGAATGCTTTTGTATGTGTCTGAGAATTGGGTGCACCGGTATAGCCATTTTTTCATGGCCATTTTAAGCGGGAAATTGGAGGCTCTAGACCATCAAATTTTATCAAATGTTGGTACCCTATTCTCCAACAAACAGGGATCAGTCACCGATTGTTACTCAATTTTAGTTCAAACCTATCGTGGCATAGGGAGGTCAAAATGTGCCAATTTCGGTCTTTGCCAAATTTTGAGGCCCCTTGACGCATTTGCATCGAATTGCTGTAATTGATCCGCTGCTTGGTGAGTATCTCCACGCTGCTCAAACCATGATTGTTGCTCGGTTCTACCTGAAAAAAACGCGCAGCTTAAAGTCCGGGTTTGTGTTGGTTCAGTCATGTTTATTGCGATGGAAATTAAATAGTCCATGCTTTTGGTTGGCAAAACTTCTGTTTTGGTCAACTGTCAACTCCCAAATTTGTGGGTAGACCTGAGATATGTCTGCCAGCTTGGTTCAAACTTAGAAGGTGTCTTAGATGGTTGGCCATGATTACAGTAATGTGTTTTATAACAGTGAATAATGAACCCTAACAAAGTACGACAAGCATCATGTTCTTTGTGTTTGGAAACCCAAGAAAAAGCTTGGATCCTAGATTGGCCACATTTCTTGTCACATCAAATCTCCACAATCCTATTTTATAATACAATGTCCCATCATATCAGATACAGTGTGAAATATACAGTATCTCAACACCAACCCCACTAGAAACTCGCAGAAACCGAGCGCTGAGCGCAGTGCCGCGTCGCGGTTTTCGCTCGCGGCTAGCGAGGCACTTCCGAAGCTTCACCTCAGCCTTCGCGGCCTTCACAGCCTTTGCTGGTGGAGCTGGAAGATGAAATGCTGGTGCCTTGGTACAGCTGGGTCAACCAGTTACCCTCGAATGGTAGATTTCACATTCCCGCTCCAGCTCAAAGGTACGTGTCTCCCTCAAAAAAATTGTTTTGCCCTAGATTTAGTATATTATATGCTTGGGATTGCATAGGTATATATATATATATATGTATGATGAAGCTCAAAGCTACCTTGCTGGCTCACTGCCTCCTTGCTAGCTCAAAGCTCAAAGCTACCTTGCTGGCTCAGTGCCACGTAGCTGGCTCAGTGCCATGTAGCTGGCTCAATGCCACGTAGCTGGCTCAGCGCCTCGTAGCTGGCTCAGCGCCACGTAGCTGGCTCAATTTGTTTAGCGAAAAAAAAAAAGAAAAAAAAAAACCTCGCAGAAATTGAGCCGGCTACATGCCCTTGAGCCGGCTCGCCAATGCGTCATGAACCCGGCCAATACATAGTTAGTATTCGCTTTGATGCTCTCACATTCGTCCGCCAGCTCAACGTGACGTAGCTGGCTCAATTTTTTTGGTGTTTTTTTTTTCGTTTTTTTTTTCGTTGAAAAAATTGAGCCAGCTCGATGCCATTGAGCTAGCTCGATGCCCCTGAGCTAGAGCGATGTGTTTGAGCGAGCTCGATGGTGCTGAGCCAGCTCGTTGCAGTTGAGCGAGTTCGCAGGAATTTCCCAATGTGGTAAATTGCCAGGTTCAGTCCCCACTGATTACTTTAGTACTAGATATGGTACCTCTGAAAAAGCCCAAGGTGACTGTCAAAACATACCCCTGATGAAATTGAGCCAGCTACATGTTTTGAGCTAGCTCGAAAAAATGGAAGATTGTAAATTCCACCATTCAATACCCTAGGGTTTTAAGATGCAGAAAACCTCTGGGAACCCCTAGGAAAATGATCTTCAAATGATGAGGCACTTCCACATCTATCTTAGTTTGCGGGTACCGAATGTGGATTTAACCAGCATAGATGTGCGTTTCACCATCAAAAGGCTGTGGAAGAAGACTCAGACGCAGCAAAATATGGTGATTTCATCCATTTAGATGAATTTACCTTAACCAACCCCAACAAATGTATTTGTCCAGCAATTTTGTTCATGAACGATGCTGGGCTTTGCTAATCCTGGTATGACATTGGTTTAATGTTTTTTCTTGCAATAATTGAATGGTTGTAGGCACAACCCATATGTGAGGTCGATTACCTATTTTCACTCCAAATTTGTCCGGGATGTCATTTAGGAGTACATCCCTGTCTTTGTCATTGTTGCTTGGATATTTCAATCAGTGTGTTGTTATTCTGATGGTTGTTCATCGGTGGTTCATGGTTCACAGCAGCATGTCCTTAGACATATTGCGTATTTTCCCCAGAAAATACGCAGGTGTAAACCAAAAGGACTAGAATGTAAGATTGGGTGTGTCCAAGCTACAACAAAGCATTGGTTCTATAATTAGAGGATCATTAATATCATGTTGATGGATTTTGGGGCATTACGCAAAGAAAGAATCATAGCCTATACAGTCACATTATATATAACTATATATATATGTATATATATATATATGTATATGTATAACGGGACAATTGGGATGTCCATGTATACATGGAGACCGGACAAAACAAGTGAAGTATTGATTTTTGATTTGGAATAAAATCCGCTTTAGAAACTCTGGCTCAGCAATTGTGCCTCAGCATATAGAGATTGGCCTTGTGAGTAGCAGGGTTACGTTCCCCCAGAGGAACTGAGATATTTCATGACATTCGCAGCCACTTTTTGGTTGAATCATCGAATCTTCTTTTCTGTTGCTGGCAATGGGAAAATCATTGGTGGATTCTCCAACGCCACGATTGCTTGCCGGAGGGTAAGTAGCTTCCCATGTTTAGATGTTGGTGGATCGAAATCCTGATGGCCATGGCCATAGAATGCCATCGATTGCCAGCGAAACTTCCCCAGCAATCACAGTTTTTCCCCAGTTTTAGATAGGACATAGGTAATTTAATATAACTTATTGAAACTGGCCATTTATAGTGAGTTTTTCCACTAAAAATGACCTTTCCCCTGAACCTCCGCTGGGTTCTCCACCGTTGCCGTCGCCAGGACCGGTGTCGCGAGGCCATCGAGGACACCAAGGTCTCGGAGCCCAAGTGCGATCTGCAGATGGCGCGGATCCTGGCGGAGGCGCGGGAGAAGGCGCAACAGGAGGCGGGATGGGGATGGGGATGGGGATATGCTGTGTTTATTGTAGTTAGACATGTATAATTCTTATATAACTTAATATCATTTATGTAACTATATATATATAACTATATATATATGTATACTATTTATTTATATGTATATTATATTAATTATGTATTATTTATAGAGTATTATATGTATATATATAATTATATAGTTGTATGACGTTTGACATATGAAGGCAATTTAGCTTTCATATTGGGTTGGGATGGTGAAGCAAAGTGGATGGTAATCGATATATATATATATACATATATCACCCAAAAAAAATTGAACAAGTTATTTGTCGCTGTGTTAGGTGGGATTCTACATGACTTGAACTGTCTATCTTCTTGAGAGGTTTCTAACCCCAGTGGAAATTCTACTGGAGACCTCCATTTGTTTGGAGATATGAGGTAGAATATCCAGGGTTTCTTATTTACAAGAAGAAGACAACTAGAGCAAGTGGAAATAAGTGGAATCATCTTCAATCCAATGATTGAACATTGATAGAGAAAGCAGCAACCAATCGATTGACCGCCCGATCTTCGAGATCTTTCAGGCGCGGAAACGAGGCAAAGCTGCAGATGTCGTGGCGACCAAGTCGCGGAACCTCGCGCGAGATATGGCGACGGAAAAAAACCGCTGGGTAGCCCCATTTGAAGATACCAATACTTGTCATCCATGACTTGGCTGTTTTGGGGACACACCCATTTTATGAACTCCCCAATATGATGAAAGATCATCAATTCCAAATGTTTTTTTTTTGAATCGTTGAACAGTAGGATTTTTAAAATGCAACATGAAATTCATGATATATACATGTATATGAATTGATGATATTATATACATATGTATATATAGCCTCGTCCCTGCTCTTGGAACCGCGCAAACCTGAATTAGGTTGGTAGAACTTGTCCATTCCGTGACGAAATTTAGTCGCGGAATTGACAAGTTTCATTGGGGTCATCATCATCATCATCATCATCATCATCATCCTCATCCTCATCATCATCATCATCATCATCACACCATCATCATCAGAATCATCATCATCAGCATCATCATCAGAATCATCATCATCACATTTCCCGCGTGTGCGTAGCATCAATTGCTTCTGCAAGTTCACATGAACGTTAACATCCCACCCCACCCCCCACCCACCCCGCGTGTGCGTAGCATCAACTACTTCTGCAAGTTCACATGAACGTTAACATCCCACCCCACCCCTCCCCCCACCCCGCGTGTGCGTAGCATCAACTGCTTCTGCAAGTTCACATGAACGTTAACATCCACCCCACCCCCCCCCCACCCCTCGTGTGCGTAGCATCAACTGCTTCTGCAAGTTCACATGACGTTAACATCCCACCCCACCCCCACCCACCCCTCGTGTGCGTAGCATCCTGCTTCTGCCACAATGAATGTTAACATCCCACCCCACCCCCCACCCACCATGTGTGCGTAGCATCAACTGCTTCTGCAAGTTCACATGAAGTTAATTCACATGAACGTTAACCACCCACTTAATTCACCTGAACGTTAACATCCCCCCCCCCCCCCCCACCCCATCGTATGTGGTTCCAGGAGCAGGGACGAGCCTATATATACATATATGACACTGTAATCATGGTTACCACAGAAAATGTATGCAAAATCATCAAATCTTCAATAGGTGGATTCAAAAATCAAAGTTGGCAAAGGTTTTGTGATTTACAGGTTAAATCGGGTTAAATGGTTAAACATACTTTCAGTTGGTGACGTCTCCGCTGTTGGAGGTCCGAATGGTTGATTCAGGGGTTTTCTGCGGCTTCGCCGCAAGAGTTTTATGATGACTACCAGACTCACCGGACATGATGTGTTCTTCGTTTCTGTATTCATCTGGCATATCTGGTTTTTTTTGATATGATAACCAGATATAGCAAACTTTTGTGTGGGGTATTAGTGATTAATCATGCTTTTGTGACCCATTGCTATTTCAAAGCTGCTGGTGGATGGAATCCTTGTTCGACCACAACATGGTGAAAAGCAATGCCAAGCTGGCAGAATTGCTGAATGTTGCTAGTGCAGCAGCAGCAAAAGTCATCCTACAACTAATTTCCCGGAGAACTATGCACATCTCCATGTTTGAAGGTAGCATTCCTGCCTTTGTTGCTCAGACTTCCGTTTCATGAGCATTGCAAAGTTCAACCTGCACATCAAAAAAAATAATCACAAACTTGAAAGAGTGGACAAACATTGGAACAAATACGTTTGCAAGCCATCTCTCATCTATTAAAGTCTATAATGTGATACACTCAATAAGACACCCACCATTGGGGATTGTATTTACAACCCATTTATGAGGTTTACAACGACCATCTATGATATTTCCCAGCTATGACCATCTGGCAGATTCAAATATTTATATGAGCCATCCGAGATCTTCTCAGTCTGAGGAAAGCCTTTGAAGCACCTGCTCGCCCCGAAGAGCCCATAGACCTTTGGCACAGTGCAGGGTGGCCAGGTGATCTTGGTACCTTGAGATGTTGGAAAAGGAATCTCTCCAAATGATGGATCAGTGGATCACCAAAACTATAGCTTTCAATACCAACATGATCTAAATCTGGATGTTTTGGGGTCACTTCATTTGAAGAAACCCCCGTTTCACGGGGGACCCCATCACCGAGAATCCCTATGAAGTAGTACCTAAAAAAACGGAAAATATGGTGATAAAGGTCACCAAATGGTGGTGTATCAAGAGTTGAAGCTCCAAAATCTCATCCCTTTGATTCGGGGGCCTTGGAACATGAGGGTTGGCTTGGCTTGTGAAAGGCACCGTTTGGAAATTTGTTACAGTTGGCTCTGGAACCTCAACATGTTTCATAGCTAAGTCATGATAAATCAATGAATTAAATGGGTCAGTGTCCTTAGCAAACTGGTAAATTGCAGGAGCTTATCGGTTATCATGTTTTTTTTTGATATCTCAAGGGTTCAGTTACATGTTCCAACCCATGAACCCAAGCCACATGTGTTCAGTGTTGGCTATCTTCGCTCTTTGGTAGATCCAGTTTTGTTGCCAACATGTCAACCATGTTTGGGATGATTATCTTACTTGGCCACTGTTGTTTGATCGCCCACACATTGGTTTTGAATTTGCATGGTCTTGCAGTGTTGGATCCTGCCTTCCAGTTCAGCAAATGAACAGGAAGCTCAGTGATGCCCACATGCAGGTTTTTACGGTCGTGTGCCAGAAAATGGGGTGACTGCGAAAGAACGTAGAACAGGATTTGTCAAATTTGTCCTGACATTCTCGTGCCGACTCTCCAGCAGTAACAAAGCAATCATCTGTGGCTGGTGTATTTGGAACGAAATGAACCTCTTCCATCCTCTTGGGGCAGCAGAAAGTGAAGTTTTCCATGTTTTTGATGGTATCCATCATGTTCAGGGAAAATCGTTATTTCTTCAACATGGGACTGGCACTGGGAAGGTCAAAATATTCAGAAATCAAAGGCCCGGTCGAGGTAGGGTCAGTCAGGTATGCGTCCCATACCCCAACTGAATTTTCTTTTTGCTGTGGTATGAAAATCTGCATGACTGAGAATTCAGTGAAGCAAGGCCAAGCTAAGAACCTAAGAACCTGTTCTTTGACCTATCTTCTTGTGATGGCAATCTGTAAGTTGCTGTTCATCCCATGTGTTTCTTGTCTGTGTTTGAGACAACGCGGCATCCTGTTCTTGAAGGTATTCCATTCCCCCTATGCTCCATTTATGGAATACTGTATCTACCAACATTGCTGAAGTTTGACATGATCAAACAAGTTGACTTTTCTTCATTTTTGTTTCGTTGCTCAACCCCCAGCTTCCTAGTTGGTTCAAGGGAAAACTGGTACTCAAATACTTTCCAGTAAAAAGCTTGGTTTCCCAGTTTCTGGTGATTTTCCCTCCAACTAGTCCATAAACTAACATATATTATATGTATACGTATATACATATAATATTAATTAATATTAATTATATGTATCTACCATAAAGTTGACACTCATTGGAATTATAAACCAACTGCGCGATTCCGTTCACTGGGGCACCACCTTACATTCGCCAGCATCTCCAAATAGCACGCACCAAAAGATCCAGGAAATCTCCTTCCGTCAAAGTCAGCCGCCCTTCAGCTACTTCAACGACCGCCAAAGCAGTCGAAGTCGCGTGCCCGGCAAAGGGAACGACATCCAGAAGGGCAAGGCTGCTCGGTCCAAGATGGGATTTGTTCTGGGGTCATAAAAAATCAATGTCAGATGGAAATGATGAAAACGCCATCAAGATGGAACTGATTTTTATCATTGGTTTATCATAATCATATTAATCTTGAAATCAATGATTTTTGTCCATAATCACTGAGGATTTATATTAGCACATGGCTTCACTGGTTTTCGCCGTTGCTATCTTTGAGCTCCGTTGGATTTCAGTACGACTTGGGAATGAAACCTGGCGCGATAGGAGATATGTGAGGAGATAGGAAGCTTGCTGATCAGTGACATAGATATATAACAACTTGAGACAACCCGGTACATTCACATTAGTTAACCAACTATAGACTATAACCAACATTAACCAATTACCAAATAATCGGGATATAATCTGGTTGGTGGTTTCAAACATGGCTGGATTATTTTCCATATGGGATAATCCTTCCCATTGACAAAGTCATATTTTCAAGATGGTTAAAACCACCAACCAGTATAACAATTTGAGATATATAATATTTGTTTTCTGTATACAAATGTCTGTTACCCCTAGGCATCATGCCAGCAAGTGTGGTGTCACCTCCTTCTTGAAGTGCGCTCAGAATTTATCAAGCACAAGAAGGTTTCAATCAATCAGAAACGCGCAAACTGTTTGATAGATGTTTTAGCTATCCACTCGCGTTGCCCATGGCCCTAGGATAGAAAGGTGCTCGTACTTGTAGGTGTCCCACTTCCAGTTCAATCCTTACGCATAACCGGCAAAAACTCAAACCTCCATGGCTCGTGCGGATGGTGTGACTTTTTCCCAGCGGGTACTACTTGATCCCAAATACATATGTATATAGTATATATATATATATACATATTGGATGGCCATTTCAGGTACCTAAATTAGAGGTACCTACCATATATAAGGCCTATGTTTCAGGCCTATGTAAGTGAATATCACCACAAAATATGGCCTTATATGGTACAGTACTCCAATTTAGGTTCCTGAAATGACCATTGATATATATCTAGCTCCAAGTTACGCAAATTCAGAAAAATTACCTATATCATGAATCCATCGTACTCCAGACCTGTCTCTTTGGACCCATTGTTTTCCCAACCTGTTTCCCTGTGTGTGACATGTTTCACACCTGTGAATTGACTGGTTGCGGTGGGAAGACCTTTCAGCTCGATTTGGAAATTGTTTGGCACCATGTCGATGCCTTGTGTTGTTCCTGAAATGCTATGGAGCCTGGATGAGCTAAAGCGTGCCCTGATAGGTGAGTTTCCCATTTTGGAGACTGAAGTAGGAGAGGGTTTCAAAATATTGTGTGACTTGTTTGTTGAATGGGCTGAAATCCTGTTAAACTACAACAGCCAGCATCAGCTCTGTTGTTGAATTTGGGGAATTGTGGCCCAGAATCCTTCTCTCAGGGGATTTCCCGCCGCGCATACTCATGTGGCATCGCACTCAAGGGGTGTCATCGCACCCCAGAGGACCCCATCGCACTCCACATATACTCACAGATCTTTGTACTCCACAAAAAGCATAGTATACCAGAAAAACCGTCGCATACAGCCAAAAACATTTTTTTTTGAAAAAATGAACCTGAAGAGGTGTTTTTTATTTTTTTTCTCGTTGGAGGTAAAATGCTCTGGAATATGATAATATGGAATATGGGGGAAATCGTTGTTTTTCCAGCGTTTTGAAGAGTCGCGCATACAATCGTATTCCATCAATTTTTGATACTTTAGACCTGTGGAGGCTATGGAAATCCTCGGTTGTGGTGCTAGCCGTGCAGGATGGAGTGTGATGCTCTCTGGGTATATGAAGTGGAATTTCTGACCCCAATTTGATCAAAAAAGATGTCAACATATGCTTGAGAATCCCACATGCAGGACTGGCAACGCATACCAGGGGGGCATCATACTCCAGGGGTGGCATCCTACTCAATGTAAGTGTATTCAGTGGAAATATGGTACCATTTGGGTTCGAGGAAGAGCAGCGAAATCCAGACTTGGCCCAGTTTGCGGATGCGGAAGCTGAACCGCCAGCCAAGCGCGTCAACAAAAATAAGCTGAACAGCTTATCCAATGGTCTTAAAAAATCCTATAGAGAAGTTGATGATTGATGAGAGGAACACAAGACTTTATGTTTATTCAAGAAATCATTGCTTGAGAAGCTGTGGACTCAAAGGGTCTTAGCGGGGTTAAACATGTGCGATTGGACATGACAGCACGTGCCAAGGGAAAAGGTGCGCCTGACAAGGGTCACACAACCTCATTCTCACCATCAAAGGTCGTTCATTATTTTCCAAACTTCCGGAGCTATTTTGGCATGGAATATGAACAGCCTTGGAATATGGGTAAGATTTTGCTAGAATATATATATATATATATATTATATATGTATATATATATATATATATATGTCCCTATGATATCCCCATTATCCATATCCCTACATCATATCATATCATATCCGTATATTATATCCCACCCGGTGATAGTGAATATGCTATTATTAAAAAACATCGATTGTATCCCTGTGCCATCAAACATAGCCAGAACTGGGGATATGATGGCGCCACATGACCTTGGTAGTGGCATATCAGCCCCATACTCTCTGTCAATGACTAACAGTTTGCGAACTTGAAAATGGCCATAAAAATAGTGGATTCAGCCATTAAAATATGGAGATGTTCCATAGTTTGTTTGTATATGTTTACCAGAGGGTATCCCTATTCTGAACCACCTTTTGATGGAAAATCATCTGTCGCGTCGCAGAGGTTTTTGACAGCTTCAAATTCCTCACGGCCCGAGATGATGAGCTCCCAGGTGGGTTTTCAGTGCTTGGAAAGCCGTAGATGTAAACCATGGATGACCCGGGAAACATGGTGCCTGGTTTGCTAAGTTCTTGCAGTCTTTCTTTGCCACGGGAAAACCAACTCATCCGCATGAATGTAGTTGAATTTTCAAGGGCAGATGCACCATATGGTTTGCATTATCTATGTGTATCTATTTGTGACATGTGACATTTTAAAGTTGGTCTCGTTTCGAGGTCATCATAAACTGTCCGTCCATGTTATTATGTTCATGTACAAACGTATACGCTACACTGCTATTGCAGATAGATAGATCGATGGATGGATGGATAGATCGATAGGTAGGTAGGCAGAAAGACAGACAGATAGAGAGACAGAGCGACAGAGAGGCAGAAAGACAGACAGACAGATAGACAGATAGACAGACAGACAGATAGACAGATAAACAGATAGACAGATAGACGGGCGGAAAGATAGGTAGATACAATGCATGCGTAATTATACATACACATGATTGAAACCATGCACCATTTTAACATTCTATACATTCTATACACATGTGCCTGGAGTCACCTAGTGCAGTAAACGTGTATATCACACATTATGTAGTTAAATGACATTTTTTGATACACTAAGTACGAAAGTTGACACAATATAACACACTTATACACACACACACATATATATATTAAGATCTGACATGAAATATGCGCGGAAGATTTGGAGTTGGAGATTGCTTAAAGCTGACATTAGACAACTTTGAAATGGTTCTATATCTTAGGTTGCATGTGTAAGTTTGTATACGGTAACAACATTTAAATATGTGGAGGGCGGGCCAGACCACGAGGCCCCGGAGGTAGTATGAAATACCAGTTCGTATGTTTAAATGTAGTTACCGTATGTTTAAATGAATTGTATTCCGTATGTTTAAATGGCTGAGCGGGCCAAGGAAAACCTTCCCGGAGGTAGTCTAAAATACCTGTTCGTATATTTAAAAGTCCGTAATTATATTTAAATGTAATTACCGTATATATATATATATATGTATACATATATATATATATATATGTGTGTGTGTGTACACATACTGTGTACTTCATGCAATGTCTACACAAAATTTGACCTTGCTTATTTAGGTAAACTATGGTAAACTAATATAGATTCGGAAAGCCACAGTTTTCTCGTTTGCAAAATGATCTTCTCTTCTGGTGGGTTTTCCATATGTAAACTTTTACTGGATGGTACTACAGGATTTACTGTATTTGAGACTTATAACTGATGTAACCAACAAGCAAAAGTTATAATTAATATTTTCCAATGGAGATCAACTAACTTTACTATTGGAGAACTAGGAAACATGAAGAAGTAACGGGATATGACTGTATACTTTTTGATATGTCGGTATATGTTGGATATCTTTATGTTTGGCACATTCAATTTGGAACCAGGATGAATATGAATAGTTGGGTTCTATCCCATTTAAAATCCCATTCATATTCCAATGATATTACCCTCCTGTAAGCGTTTACACAGATGTGGATTTTACCCACCATGAGAGGTTAGTCAGACTATCCGATCGGGGAGCTACTGGGTTTTCCACATCGGCGTCCCAAAAAAATCTGGGTTAGCCCTGTAAGTTGGGAAGCCCAAATAATCAGGTAATCAACCCATGATAATCCCATCAAATCATCATTACCATCTGGTTATGACTAACAGGGCTAGCCATGGTTAAGCCATGGCCCATTGTTAAATAGATGGTTTACCGAACTTAAAAATGGGTGGATCTTTCCATGGCCATGTTAAATTACCAGAGGGTAAATCTCATGAACTAGCATTAAATCACCATTAGATCACCATAGATCTGCTCAGCCGTAAAAGTGTCACTTGGCACCGAATGACACCCCCACGATCTCCGACGCCAGGTCCCACCGTAAAAGCTGCGCCTCTGAAGACGGGGCTGACGGCATGGAAGGTGCGACGGTGGGTCAGAATTTCAGACCATTCCATGATACCACAGATGGCTTAGTCGATTTTTAGCAGTGACATGTACCATCTGGTTATGACTAACATAGCCATGGAAAATCACCGTGTTTAATAGGTAAACCATCTATTTCTATGGGCCATTTTCCATGGCTATGTTAAATAAATATTAACCATTCCATGATTGGGGTGCCCAATTTTGACAAATACCCATATTTCTGGCTAAATTCCAACTTACATGGTGATTTCCAGCTCGCAAAGTGAAAACCAGATGGTGTGTCATACAAGGGGGTGGCCTCCCAGTTGGTTTATAGACCCCAGAAAACTGTTAAAAAATAACGAGAATAAACCATAGTGATCCATGGTTATTGGAGGTGTAAACAGACTCAAAAGACTTAGCTATCTAGGGGGTAACACCTTGTAGCTATCAACATTATATCAATCTATCTATCTATCTTTCTTTCTTATTTTATCTTATCTTATCTTACCTTATCTTACCTTGTCTTTATCTATCTATCTGTCTGTCTGTCTGTCTATTTTTTTTCGTATAAATCTCACGATTGGTGGCTCACCTTTCCTCAGGTGGTCTACGCCAATCCCGTGGCCATGCGCGCGACGCCAAAAGCCACGGGCCGTTTGGTGGGACAGCTACATCCAGGCAAGGGCGTGATCAGTTTGAAGGGGTAAGTTCTTGGAGGACCCATACTTAGAACCCATGTATATATATATATGTTATATATATATATATGTTATATATATATACTACATGTGTGGGAAAAATCCATTTCTTGCAATAACCACGGTAAAATATGTACATATATATTATATTTACATATGTATACTGTAGATACATAATATGGAATCATTTTAACGGAGGTATATGTTTCCAAAAATACCATATTGAATGAAAGAAGGACATTTAACCCTTATGGAATATATCTGGGATAAGCCACGCCCAATGGGAACCAGGGAATCTCTTGGACCTGGGCTGATCCTCCAAGTTGAGATGTGTTAGTCAGATTTGATCGGTAGACACAGTAGATTCCATTAAATGTGAGGCCCCCCAGTGATGTTTGTTGGTTTATAAGCCCCAGTAACTAGTTCGTTATAAGTACCATAAACCATAGTTATTGGAATTATACACCAACTTAGCTATCGAACGGGGGCCTCACATTGTTGGTAATGCTGTAATGCCCTCTGATACCCTCTGGTAAACTGTTACAGTTTGCTATGGAAAGATCCACCATTTTGAATCGGCAAATCCACTATTTCTATGGCCATTTTCAATAGCTATGTTAGTTTACCAGAGGGTAATTGAACATAGCAAACTGGAAAATCCCACCGTATTTTACGGTAAGTCATTTATTTTTATCATCATTGTTTACCAACATGGATCAAAATACCCGGTAATTTAACATACGTAAGTATGGAGAATCCACCAGTTTTAGATGATTCTCCCCCTTCAATAACCATTTATAGGAAATTGAGCATTGCGATGTTTGCTGGAGGGAACACAATTCGGTTTCAGCTCATATTTTGTTTTGATGGGTAAACATTGTATATTGTTCGTCCGCTAGAAGCTGAAAGTGTAACACAGCATCAACAACCCACCACTAGTCACAAGGTCGTTTTTCACCATCAAAAAACATGTTTTTGTCGGTGGAAATAACGTTAAATGGATTTACCATCTAGTTGACAGATTAATTACATGTTTTTTTGCGCAGGTATTTTCAGGTGGTTAACCATCAATTTTTAGCCCAATCGATCGAACAAGAGCTGGTGGTGAAAAACCAGCGGGAATTGGAAATTACAGTAACTATCACTTTCCCAATGTTTAGCCATAAAAGAAATAGTTTAGATCTCAAAACCCATTCCCCTCTGGTAATTTAACATAGTTTTTGAAAATGGCCATTTATAGTTGATGTCCCTATGAAAAACGGTGATTTTGATAGCTATGTTGGTTTACCAGAGGTTAACTATATATCTATGTCTATATATATATATACGCGCAACGCCTGGGTTTTGCCCAGGCGTTGCAGCGTAGAAGGTTTCCCATTCCCAAACAAATGCTGATGCAACTTCACAAAATTCCTTTGGGAAGAACAACAAAGGTACTAAGGAATATTAAACTCCCACCCCGTTAAACGTTAAATTCCTATGGGAAGAACAACAAAGGTACTGGGGAATATTAAACTCCCACCCCCGTAAAACTTTACATTCAATTGGGAAGATCAACAAAGGTACTAGGGAATATTAAACAGTTACTCCCGTTAAACCTTAAATTCCTATGGGAAAAACAACAAAGGCACTAGGGAATATAAAAATCCCACCCCCGTTAAACTTTACATTCAATTGGGAAGATCAACAAAGGTACTAGGGAATATTAAACTCCCACCCCCGTTAAACCTTACATTCATTGAAGATCTTCAATAAGGGTTTAATTCTCCCACCCGCGTTAAACTTCTACATTCATTGAAGATCTTCAATAAGGGCTTAATTCTCCCAATCCCGTTAAATTTTACATTCATTGGAGATCTTCAATAAGGGTTTATTTCTCCCACCCCCGTTAATCTTCTACATTCATTTCTACATTCATTGAAGATCTTCAATAAGGGTTCAATTCTCCCCACCCCGTTAAACTTCTACGTTCATTGAAGATCTTCAATAAGGGTTTAATCCTCCCAGCCCCGTTAAACTCCTACATTCATTGAAGATCTTCAATAAGGGTTTAATTCTCCCCACCCCGTTAAATTTCTACATTCATTGAAGATCTTCAATGAGGGTTTAATTCTCCCAACCCCGTTAAATTTTACATCCATTGAAGATCTTCAATAAGGTTTTAATTCTGATGATGATGATGATGATGATGATGATGATGCGTCGCCTGTCGTCATTGCGGGTCCGGGCAAAACCCAGGCATTTGCCGTATATATATATATATATGTATATTTAAAACCACGTATATTGGCTGAGGTCTTGGGAAATTTGATTCGAACGAGCTTGAAGCAGCCAACATCAACATGGGGTCTCCACCAACAAAACGTAGGGACATGGCCGAATATTTGGATGATTTCTTGGCAAACTGATTGGTTAAGGGTGAATGTTAATTGTTGAATTCTTTTGACTTTACTTAAATTGAAACAGCAATAGTCCGGCAACACCAAGGGGCAAGAACGACGAGAACTGCGGTCGAATGAAAATGGCCAAAAGGAAATAAATGATGGCTGAACATGTTGAAGCTGCAAAGTCATCATTCTGTCACCAAGGGTAGCACCAACAAAAATCCACATGTCCAGGGGTTGAAACCCCCAAGCCACCTGCTGGTAGGCCACCCATCCCGGGTTCTCCCTGCATTCCTGCATGGTTTGAAGTCTCACACCACATGTCTAAACCTTAGCTGCATAGGTTAGTGGTTATATAGGCAGCCAAAAATGCGGGAATATAAAGGAACATATCCACCTTTCTGCAGCACATATGTAAACACCCCGAAATTGTTCTCAAGATGATAGAGATATGATATAGAAATAACATGCTGTATTATTATTATTATATTATTATATCACACCCGAGAACTAACTAAGGGCACCAACAACAACCAATCAGGCTGCCACCGTGCTGGGGGTGTCACCTTTGGCAGTGCTGGGGGGGATCCCCATTGGTCGAATTCACCAGGAAAATCCATAAATTTTCAGTTATGCCACACATGTTTGTAGGTTATACACTTAAGCAATGCCCAACTTATATACAAATACATTTACGTATAATATACATATAATCATGTCATTTGATATATATATATACACTCAAAAAACATATAGAACAGGTGATTCACCACTAGTAATTATAGCAACAATTTACGTTTTGTTTTTTTTATTTTTTTTTGGGGGCTGACCTTCGCCAGGAGATGTTGCCTACTGCAACGAGAAGTCGCGGAGCGGCGACTGGCTCAAAGTGGAGGAGGCCTTTGGCGCGACTAGCTCAAGCCGGGCAAAGATTGAGATTTAAACAAGAAGAATTGGGGTTTAACCATCAAACATTTGAATACTTCAGAAATCCAAATGTTCCATGTATAGAATACTACAGTTATGGCCATTTATTAGTTATAACTGGCTATAAATGGGATTATACATTCTATAAATGGAGTTATAAGTACTTATAACTGGTAAAGGGCCTTAACTGTATGGAATAAACCTTTACCCGCACATTGATCCAAATCTATGGAAGTATTCCATACATGGAGCAGCAAGAACAATGGGGGGTTAAATCCTCCAACCCTTGCTAGCTGGGAGGTCTCATCAAAAGTGGGCAACGGGAAGATCATCAACAAATGCTTGCTAAACTAACATAACCATGGAAAATCACAATTTTATATGGGTAAATCAACATATCTGGTTGGTGGTTTGGAACATGTGTTATTTTTCCATCTGGTTGGGAAATGTTGGGAATGTCATGATCCCAACTGACTTTCACTCCTTCATTTTTCAGAGGGGTAGGTGGCTCAACCACCAACCAGATGGGTCCCATTTCACCATTGCATGTTGGATAAAATCAGATGGTATTTTTCTTCATCCCAAGTCATGGTTAAAATGGTTAAATCCGGGGAAATGTTGGAAAGCAACACACGGTTCTTCAATCAATCAATGTATATATATATTATATATATGATATATGATAATGGTTTACATGCTATATCACATGCTCATTGTTATATAATTGATATCATTTTTTGTTCCATGCTAAATGATTAATGGTCATCAAAAACTATGAGAAAGAATGGCTATAGAAGCAATCTGCATTTGGTGCTACTGGAAATACTGCTGCTGTTCTGTTTTAGGTTTATCCATATCTAATGGACGAGCAGCACCACTGGCGAAAAAAAAGAGTGTGATCAGGAAACCATTGGATGGAATTTGAGAAATATCTGAAAAAACATTTAATAGATTCAATCTTTAACACCGTTTTTTTGGCAGAAACACATGGGATTTTGAGGTCTTGGAGGAGCACAGGAACGTCCCATTTTTCCAGGAAAAGTGCTGCCCAGCTGTTTCAACTTTCAACGCACCCAGTCATAGACTTCGAAGACTTGGAAACCTGGAAATGATGGGGGAAAACATCATCTATATTAGGTTATTAATTTAATAAGGCAAATCGTCCCACAATAGTCTTATGTAATTCAGATATTTCAAACTAGCGAATTATTATTATTCATCCAGATAGATTATATATATATATATAACATCCTGGAGAACACGTTTTGTTGGGGGACATCCCTATGCATGTGGCGCATGTGTTTCATCGACCTGAACATTTGGTGCATTTGTTCTCGCTCAGGTGGAAGGACAAGATCTGCGGGATGATGCTTGGGCAACTTGTCACGGGCCAATGTGCATATAATTTTAACGATGTATCATGGCACATTTTTTGCTATCAATGGTAAACTGTACTAGCCAGCCAAAAGTTGGATTTTTTGACAGGTATCTAAGACCCAACATGATTACGTAATATTACGTATCACTGTATTGGGTGAGACCCCTCCAATGATATACTATAATAAGGCTGTATGAAACTGGAGTTGACATTCATGGTTTCTTTCAACTAACTGCTGGAGTGATCTGGATGGTATGTTAGGTCAAAAAGTGGTGTGGTGATGGAAGTTCTGAACAATGCAAGACACTACAGCATCTCCAGTAATTTGACATATTACATATGGATAATCCACCAGTTGCAGACAATTTCCATTTGAAACCCATCGGGTTTCGATTGTATACGATTGTGAGAATAGTTATGACATGTTATGATAATATGAGTATATATGAGTATAATAAGTGATTATATTTGATTATAATATGTTATATGATAATATGATTATGATATCAAGGACAAAACAGCAATTTAATTACAGAAGGATTATAGTAATATCATTCATCAGATTTTGTCAATGGTGGGCTGTAACCGACCAGTCCGTGGGTACTTTAAAAAAACAAAGACTGTGGTGCAACTAAGAGTTAAATTAACAGTAACAGTTAAATGATTCGAAATGACTGGTGTTTTTATATTTGAACCGCTCCGAGTCTTCTTTTGCTTTGTAGCTTCAGCGGGATGTTTTTTTGTCCAGGAAACATCTCGCAGGATGATTTCCAGATTGGATTATACCGGACATCTTGAGAGACGGTACTTGTCCTTTGGATAAGGGCCCTTTTCCCCGAATTCATTGGGAAACAGAGGCAGGTTTCTCACAGTTTCTCAGATGGTTGTCACTGACATTTTTCCACAGATAGGTAATGGCCTGCAGCTAGGTGCTCGTGGATGGTTCTGACTTTGGGATGGGTATTTTGCTCCAGAAAGTGGAGAAACGCTGACCTTCCGGCCTGGCTGGTGGTTTCTGCGTCAATCTCTGTAGGTTCATTGTAGGTTCATTGGTGGATCTGTGGTGATGAACATATCTTCCTGTCATGACAACGATTTATGTCGTACAAATATATGTACAAATGTGTGTATATATATATATACATATAATGGTGTTTACTATAAAATGATTGCCACATGAAATTATATATTTATGTATCATTTTATGTGGCAATCATTTTATAGTAACCCCAAAAAGCTTTGCGCGAAGCCTCCAGCCAATGTAGCTCGGGTCGTAATCTTCCACGGTTGCCGTGGACTGTGATGTAGACATGGCGGCTTCGGGAAAGTCAGGATTTAATCTTACAGATTTAGCAAATTTCCTTTGAGAAACACATGGTATGGTTCAATGATGTCGATGTTTTTTTGAAACATATACTACATATACCATGTTTTTTTGGATAACCCTATGTGTTTCAATGATGTCGGTATTGTTTTCTACTAGGCTTTTCCACACGTCTCAGACATCGGGTTGGTTTTTGATGCACAACATCGATGTTGGTCCAAAGTCCAAATCGCTGGACCGAACGACCAAGCTACGGACCCTGGATTAAACCCCGTTTACGGCTGTTGAATTGGGAGGGTACCATAAAAAAGGATTAGATGAAATGACTATTGGAGATGTGACCCCCCCAAGTAATAAACCATGGTTTAGCAAAATCCGGGGTTGACATTATGTGACATTGAAATGTCTCCATAGTCTGAAACTACCAGACAATGGTGGGTACATAGCAAAAAATACCACATTCAAACGAACATTGATACCAATTTTGTGGGATCATTGAAATGGTAGAAAAAATGGGAAATGGCACCGCTATAGCCTCCTGAAAACGGACATCGAAGCAACAAAAACTAGGTCTAGAAAAAGTAATCTTCTCCTGGGATCTTATCTGGTTGGTGGTTTAGAACATTTGGATTATTTTTCCATTCAGTTGGGAATTTCATAATCCCAATTGACTTTCATATTTTTCAGAGGGGTAGGTACACCACCAGCCAGTTATGATGGATTTTCAACACTCAGATTTGATTGCTCCTTTCTCCTATTGATAGACAATCGCCAAACATGTGCAGTGGATTGCACAGTTAAGGCCCTTTACCAGTTATAAGTACTTATAACTCCATTTATAGAATGTATAATCCCATTTATAACCAGTTATAACTAATAAATGGCCATAACTGCAGTGGTGCATCATTTTGGAGTCTGTCCCTGAGCCTCTGACTTCAGCGCGGAGGATCTGTGAAAAAATCGCACCGTTGGGCTGTTGAGGATTCCACCATATTCCACAGCCATGGCATGCCATGGCTGCCGGGTGCCATGGTCAAGTTACACCTATTATTTTCCATGTTGCCTCCAAAGTTTCCGAAGCGGATGGTATATACAATAATCATGTTGAAAAACCTTTACTTCACCAGTTAACCATAACCAGTCAAATCCAGTAAATAACCACTGTAAATAGACTTTAATTCACCATTGTCTGATTTCTGCTTGGGATCTGCTCGGGATCCGTTCGTGTTTTGGCTCAGTGCATTCTGCTTTGATCGATCCGCTTCGACGTCTCGGACCTAAAACAGAGTTGCGAAGCGCCAAGGTGGGTGAAGAGATGACACCTGCGGTAAAGTGGGATATCTTCATAGTATTTTCATGGTATTTTCATGGAAATTGATGATATTTAGTGGAATTTAATGGTATCTAATGGGATTTTGATGGAATATCAATGAGATTTATTGGGGTTTAATGGGATTTCATGGGATTTATTGCATAATATGTGGGGGGAAAGGTAGACTGCGGTCTTGTTGAATGAATGGTTGAGTAACGACAATAATGGTTTGACCAACAAAGTTATGGTGATATAATGAGACTTAATGGGACAGACGTGGTGCCCCACAGTTGAGGCTCTTTACCAGTTATAAGTACTTATAACTCCATTTATAGAATGTATAATCCCATTTATAACCAGTTATAACTAATAAATGCCCATAACTGCAGAGAGCTCAATCGCTAAGTTGGCAAAGATAGCTCCAAAAAACTATGAAATTCAAATGGTAGATATGTTCAACTAGTTCATAGAGATCAAGCTGACCAAGAACTAGGGGGCACCACCAAACATTTTGGGATGGATCATGTGGCAAAGTGTGGTAAACCCGGCAATACCTCGCTATTCTTTTTGTGGCTGCAATGATGCCGCAGGCACGTCATCCTTGAATAGTCAGACCGATGGCAGCTCGGAGATATGCTATGGGTCCTAAACGACAACCAAACCAGGTGCATTTGCAAGTGTATAATAAAACTCCAAGGCAATATTCAATCAGGATTCTCAGGATATTCTGATCATGTCCAATACGATGCATTGTCGGGTTGGGATATTTTTCTTGATACTGGATAACGTTGTCCTGCAATGATAGTCTTGTTTGGTCCCAACAATATGAAGGTTTCTCATCCACTTGAATATGCTACAACATCCTGCAAAACAACGCGTTTCTATCCTCTTGGGGATCCCCCAAAACTCGTATGAAAAAGACACCCGACTAGTTCTGGTTGATGATCTCTCCCATTAAATGCCATTAAATCCATATATTGATCATATTGACAATCAGAATTTGGAACCATATGAAAATCAGCCCATGCTACCTTTGATCTTTGTGGAAGGATCATGGGCTGCACTACTTCTACTTCTACTGCCATGCCGGACATGCATCGAGGCTCCGACATGGTCCGACATGGAGCCCCACATGCAAGTCATGGAGGAGAGATGAATCCAAGATGTGTTGGGCAAAACGGCAAAACCAGGTGAAGCGCTGGATAATGTTTGTGAATTTCTAGTCAAAGATCATCATCGGCCAGTTTTTGTTGACCATGGATACTGGAGGTTCGTCCACTGAAAAGGGGGCCTGAGCTTGTAAAGACAGGGGTGTCAGCAGGACCCCCTCATGCAAACTGCCTCGGCTCTTGCTGTTACCCTCTGGTAAACTAACATAGCTGTAGAAAATATCCCATAGAAATAGTGGATTTTCCCATTAAAAATGGTGGATCTTTCTATAGTTATGTAAACGTTTACCAGAGGGTACTCAGTAATGCATAGGCATGTGTGGCTAGATGTGGCTAGTCATGATTTTTGTGAAAACCAGGTCACCCAGGTTGCCAGATGACCACACTGATCAGGGTGTTTTCCCTGGAAAACCAGATTGTCCACCATGGCAGCCATGGATCACATGGCAACTTTTTTTTCAGGAAAATGATGGTTACAGAGGATTTCGAGGTATCATTTTTTTCAGTGCCGCATGGGTCATCTCATTTGATGTTTGGATTGCTTACAGTTGTGGCCATGTATTAGTTATAACTGGTTATAAATGGGATTATACATTCTATAAATGGAGTTATAAGTACTTATAACTGGTAAAGGGCCTTAACTGTAATGATATGATACTGAGATAGTTGCTTGCTGCTGTTGAAGGCAGGTCTCTGCAGGCATTTGCAGAGATCAGGTTCGGATTCTTGAACCAAAAATGGCAGGTTTGATTGGGGAATGAATCATACTTCAGTGGAAAAAGCATCGTGCCCCAACCCCCAATCCATATACACATCTGAAGTCATATGAAAATATGTCATTATACAGTACATATGAGTACATACACGTAGTATGACATATCTAGTATCAAAGAAATATACGTATGTATATATACATAATCTTGGATGATGTCAGATGTTGGATAAGGTTAAACGTTATAATTTTGCCCAATAAAAAACAGAACGGCCCCTCATGGGGGGAGTGATTTTTGCTCTATAAATTGTCAAAAATATTGGTATTTACAGTGTTTTGTGACCAAAGCAGGCTTAAAACCATTATTTTAGAGCAAAAAATAGAGTTCACCTCCAAAGGCTATCATATCACTGGCATCTACAGACTCTTGTGACAGGATTCATTTTTTCCTGTGAGGCTTGCAAAGAACTACAAAAAATCAGCACATAACAGAAAACACATAGCTGTTTCTTCATGAACTTGTTAGATTTATATCATCTCAACATATGTTGTATATAGAAGCATTTGCGCTACATAAGAAGTATGGTGGGCAGGGCATACATTATGTAGGTGGATATACACAAACACATCTAACACTCTGGATGAGAAGGATGGATGGTGGGAATGTTACAACTCAACAAGCAGGTACATATCTTGTTTACCATTGTTATTTCAATAGTTAGAGGGAGAGGGAGAGAGAGAGAGAGAGAGAGTAAGCCAGAGAGACAGAGAAGTGTGTCATGCTGTTGACTATTAAGATCAGGTAACCTGTGTGGTGGCATAGCTATTCAAAGATAATGGTATGTTTGCTTCTTTGAAACTTCAATTTAAAACATTGCCAAGATCCAAACATACACAATCTAGAGTCACCAAACCTGAACAGGCACCAAACAAACTAAAAAAAAAACAAACCACTAGATGCACCAAACCTGCACAGGGACCAAACAAAAACAAAAAAACTAAAACTTCCAGGAACTATGGGTCCACTTCTGAGTAGTGGCTGGATTTTTTTGTTGGTGCCTGTCGATGTTTGGTGCATCTGGTGGTTTGTTTTTTTTTTGGTGCCTGTCAATGTTTTGTGAAGTCAGAGTCGCCAAACCTGCACAGGCACCAAAAAGAAAAAAAAAACAAACCACTAGATGCACCAAACCTGCACAGGCACCAAAAAAAACAAAAAAACTAAAACTTCCAGGAACTATGGGTCCACTTCTGAGTAGTGGCTGGATTTTTTGTTTTTTTGGTGCATGTCGATGTTTGGTGCATCTAGTGGTTTGTTTTTTTTGGTGCCTGTCGATGTTTGGTGCATCTAGTGGGTTTTTTTTTTTGCTTTTTTTTTGGTGCCTGTCAATGTTTTTGTATATCTCATGTCAAAATCATGATGAAAAAAGTGCGTTTTACTAGGGTTTTAGACCCTCCAAATGCATAAAACATCGGTATTTACAGTGTTTTATCATCATTTTTAATGAAAATTCAT